TTAAGAATGTGATGTTGCTGGGAGAGCATATATCTAAAAGAGAAGTACATGTTTTTTCTCCCTCTCATGAAGACAGAGTAAGAAATGAGAGGGAAAGCATGTCCCCTACTTTAGCATTCTAGAATCATTATGTCCAAAGCAAAACAGTGTTGATCAAGCACTCAGTTCATATGCCGTGTGGACTCCTAATCTGTAACTGTATGCCATTTACGTGGGGATCATCAATGTTCTAGATGATCAACACGTTCAAAAGAAATGATCGGAAGAGAGAAAGATGCAAAGAGTAGTACACAAATATGTTGTGTTTAGTTGACTTGCTTTGAACATTGACTTGGAAACTGAAATACTACGTACGTACTTCAGGAATCAGAATTCGTCTGCAAAATTTAGTTCTTCTATTTCATGATGGTTTTAGGATAACATCATATCCTTGTCCTTATAAGAAAAAAATAAAATTGATAGAAAATATCTCCATTCCACAGATAAGCAGAGGAAGTTCTTGTAAGTCAACATTTTTTTTCTCATTCTTTTGTAATGTTAGTTGGTTTTATTAGTGCTTGCTTAGATAAACTTGGACCCAAATGTCACCTCCCCATTAGTTTTTCATTAAATCGCCAGATGAAGCCAAAGCAAGGCCGATGATATATATATCCAATGAAACATTGTCTGTTGCATAATATTTATGACCTACTCCTAGATGGAGTTGGGAATCAAACAACAATTAGTGAAAGCTACATGATATCTTCCACACAACCATACTAATTTGAGTTAAGAAGTAAACTAATATGTCCAATTCTTAGTTTAGGACATCACCGTTTTGCACACCTTAATTAATTAATGATAAGCCCCTGGCCAATTATTGGCCAATGCCTAGCTAAAGCCTAACACTAAAGGGCAGTTGCTTCACGGATAAACAGTGATGAATGCTAGTGGTGACTAAGGTTATTGTTGCTCTGTCAGGACCACTTATGAACCTTGAAAATGAATTTAAAATGTTATGCTTTCAGTAATATATTCTAGCATGTTCTCAGCATGCAAATCATGCTTGTAACAAGAATATCTTCCTTCCCTTGTTATTAAACAAAACCTAAAAGTTGTCATCCATGGATAAGAGAGACCAAGTGGTCTTGATTCTTGAACCAATACAAGGGTAACCCCAACCACCTACCAATCTTCAATTCTGCCCCTGAACTTTCTGCACCCAAACAGGGGAGCTACTGGGAGAAAAGGGGACAAGAGGCAAAATGCCATGCAACTACTCAACCAAAGCTGGTCCTGATGATGATTACCATTGGTAATGATGTGTTTACACTGAAAGCATATGTGTTCAAGAGAGCAAACACATCTTTTTAGTAAAAGGTAAAGCCCATTGGCACTCACTGAGTGGGATTCCTGCAACCTTTGCTTCCTTAAGCCAAACACTTGGGCTTGCTTTTCTACCATAAACAATGTGAAATCAGAGGTGAAAAGTTGTAGGCGTTGGAAGGAAGGCCATCCTGGAATCTATTCCTTCCGAGAGGTAGAAAGCAAGAAAAGTTAAACAGTAGTCATTGGTTTCACGCGTCATGTGACCAACCAAATTACATATCGTCTGAAAAGATAAACCGGCAAATCATATTGGCTATCATTTTCATTTATAGTTTCATTTTATCGATGCTTGTTATTTGTTCAAGGTCTAATACGTACTTGACCCGTGTAAGTAGTATTAATTCTCTCTGGTGCAGAGAAGCATATATGTTGACTTCAGTTGAGTGTCCTGCTGGTTAGAAATGACCAACTAGGCAACTATTAGCTTTTTTAGGCTTTAGCAATAATTCCTGAAGTATTATGACCCATTTCAGTTAAAATAGTTTTTTTTATTCAGTGTGGTATATATTAGCTTTAAAACTTTTGTCATCTCATTGACCACTTTAGTCATGTAGCACTGTGCAGACATCACATATGACAGCAGTGGTGACTGGTGAGGAAAAACTGAGATGCTAGCTAACAGTATATGCACAGGTCCTACATGATAACAACCAATAGCCTTCAGTTATAAGATGGCATATGTCGTTGCGTGTTGCAAGCTACACCCCTTGGTGTTGGATAAAAAGCACCAAGGGTGTTGCAAGAAAGTGACTAGCACAATTCACGAACCGCTCTAACACATGTCAAGATGGAGATAATCACAAGAAGAACCATCAAATGGCATTCAGAAACCACCTGCAGATGTCCAACATCTCATCCATCTACATGATGGATAATTGGATATCATCCGTGCTTGCATAATTGGATCCACTTGATGTATATATTATTAAACAAAAACAATTCATGTCAAAAAGATCTTAACAAGGCAGAATCGGCATAGTTTGGCTAATCTGGGACGCTTTTGGGCACCCTTGAAGTGCAGTTTTTTTTGTTGGGATGGCTATTCTTTTCTTTATGTGTGCTTCGCAGACGAAGAATAGGGCCGGGGGCTCCAGGTTGTGGATCTCGTTCTTGATTGGCCTGGCCCAGGATCGCTGGCAACTGTAGCGATCCAATGTCTTGACAGGCTGCGCAAAGCATTCCGGCCCATGTGATCGAGTTGGAGGATCAGTTTACATATGGAATAAGTCCACATTGACTCCCTTAACTAGTGACCGAATCTGATTCGTATCATTGAACCGTAATACCGGATATCTCGACCCCCAACTATTAAAACCGGTACAATTTAACTTCCTTGACGGTTTTGAAGGGTGGTTTCACTGATGTGGCATCTACGTGGTAGTGTTAACCTGGTCTGTGGTATTGGCAGGACGCTTAGGTGGCATTAGAATTAAGAACATATATGTGAGCCCCATTTGTCATTCACACAACAAAAAAAAAATTGTGAAGCTCATTGACATGCGAGGCCCACAACGTCATCCCCTCTGTATCTTTCTTCCTCCTTTCTCTCTCTCTGTTTCTTTTACTCTCCACTTCGGTAGTCTCCATAAGCGGCGGGATCTGGAGCGATGGCGGTGGTGGTGGATCAGTTAATTAATTAATAACTTATTATAATCGTGATTTCATATCAACTAATTATTTGATAATCCGGGGCTATTAATTATGGCATAAATCATATGGGGGTGATCGAGTTGGAGGATCAGTTTACATCTCTCTGGGCGGGTAGCTATTTAAGAAGTTGAGGACGGGGGCGTGGTGTACTGGTGTGCAGGCAAGGCAGGCTGCATCTCATGGGTGATCTGGCAGGTCCTGAGTTCTTAGAGGCCCAGTGCAAAACTAAACACATGGGCCCTTAATATACAACGTAAATAATAGTCAATAAATATTACCCCTTAAATTGCATAACAACAATATTTACATAAAAACATCATACATATTACCTTAAAACTTTCTTCAGGCATTTCTATGTGAAATCATTGATGATGGTGCCAATATCAATTTCATCCAATAATTTTTTTAATGCACAAAATTGCCAAACCATTTAGTCTTTCTGTTAACAACTAAATTTGGTAATTCAAGTATCGGAGATGGAGATAGAACCGAAGCGGAATCCAAGATAGAGATCGTTCCGGAAACAGAGCGAGAATCGGCTAAAGTCCAAATCGGCTGCGATCAGGATCGGCAGAGTTCGAGTCGGACTAGGTAGCCGATTGAGCCGATTCCGATAATGTGACTCGGTATTCGTTATCGGGTTGAGTTAATGTGCTTCATATGGATTGCCACGCACGGATTGAGTCCTGAGAAGGCAATTGTATCTATTAATTAGGATATTTTATGTAATTTTTTTAGAGATAAGTTTGGGCAAAAGTCTGCCACAAAGACTTATGGTATTTTAGAATTTGTTAGAGGTAAGAGTCGTGTCCGACAAGGACATGTTTTGTATCTCGGGTATAAATATGACCCGAACCCATGTAATCAAATAACACACGTTCAATACAATCTCGGCGCATCGCCACCCTTTTTACTTTCGTTTACTTTCGACGAGTTCTTGCTTTCGGATTGAGCTGCATTGGTTTCGATCTTCAACTAGAGGTAAAACTTGTTATGGCGGCTTGCGTTCTCAGGATTAATGCTTCCATCTTTATGATACTCTAATCTTGTTTATGTAATTCGTCAAGTTATCATATATCTTATATAATCTTAGATAATATTGTTATTTAACCTTCATTCGGCTAATATCTATCGTTGGAAGGCAGCCGATCAGGTTAAATATCAATGTTGACTTAGATTATATAGGATATCTACCACCCTATGAAACATCCAATGACTTGATTGTCTAGATATTGTCCTTCTTTTCATACTTATAGCTGCATCAATTGAGTTTGACCTTATAAGTCGTGATTAGAATCTCAATCCCTAGCCTGTTTTTGGTTGCCGATTAGGGTAATATCGGGGTTTCAGCCGATCTTACCTGATTTAACTACTTTATATTTTATATGCTTGATTGACATGTTAAATCCGCCATTTCTGTTAAGATCTTGTTGCATTTAGGTATATTAAGCTTTCTGTTTGATATATTTTGTTTACTTTAATATCTTAATATAGAGTGGTATCGGAGTATTAGCCGATATGTGCTAGATCTATCTGATCGGCTATGCTATGAATGCTTATAATCTCCTTGTTAATATATATTTCGATCTAAGTGATTTATACTGTCTCGGCACGGCGACCGATCTACCCCAATCACTTGATTTAAGTATATATCGACATAAGGATTATATACCATTAATACCTACAGCCGATCGAATAGATTTAGTTCTTTCTTACTTATTCATGACTGTCGATCGACTTAAATATGACATCAGCTCAAAAATAAATGACACGTCATCGGCGACTGGCCGATCGGCTATCGTTTATAGATTTAACCGCTATTTTTCTGTCTTTATTTCTTGTTGATTGCAGGATCAAATCAACTGGCATGCTCACGAACCTAAAGGCAAGATTTTTTTGGACCTGCACCAAAGCGAAGCAGATCTTCCAGGCCTCGTGTTTTTCGCATCAAACACTTTCTTCGACATTTTAGATCTCAATAGTTTCTTTAATAATTTCGACTTCAAAAAGCTTCTTTCAAAATATGCCACAGTGACGGGTACTAGAAAGAAAAACATTACTTATGGAGATACTCATATAAATTACACCATAAAACTACAAATTCAAATTTAAAGTCTTACCAATTAAATATTCACAGACGTCCGGATGCGCACGACTCATCACACACTAGCACGTCTCCAAGCTCAATCCCTCTGAACTCAGATCTTTTAAACAACTAAAAAAATAAGAGACAGACACAAAGTCAGTAAGTCACAAACCTATTAACCTAACATGGAACATAGTAGTGCATGTATATATACGTCTGTTCATCAGTACATGGCATGATGGCAATAGACCAACAACCAACAGATAAAATCATAGAATTAAAACAAATCTCAATTGGCGATGGCGACGGTGTTGCTGGCATGCTGCTGCTCACCTGATCACTTCGCATCATCAACACCTCTTGAGACTTTTAGTTTTGATCGTTAGGCTGAGGTGCGCAGTTTAGCAAATCAGCAGTTGCAGCTGTCTTCAGGCTTGCAGCAGCAGCCAACGGCGGCGCCGGGGCGGTCGACGGCAACTCGGCAGGCGGCAAGGCACTGAGAGGCTTTGCAGTAGGAATTGGGCGTTTCTGTTCGCATCATCTCATCGCATGGCTTTGTTGCAGAAGAGAGGCTTTGCAGGCTCCCTGGGTTGGGGCCCCTACGATTTGGGGGCCCAGTTTGACCGCACTGCTCGACCCCCTCCAGGGCCGGCCCTCATCTTCTTCTTCTTCATGTTGCACCGTGGATCCGGAGCGGACGGGAAGACGAGACTACGTACCGGCAAGAAGCCGTCCTCCAGCTCAGGCGAGGTCGTCAGGTGGAGGTGCCTCTTGGTCTTGGCCGGCGTGGCAGCTGGGCCGGTGAGCCGTTGGACGGCCGCCCAGAATTCGCTGTGCATGGACGACGACTGGGAGATCTTGGTTCTGGCGTCGTAGATCAACACCGGCTGCTCCTGCTCCTCGTTGACGCTCCACGGACACCTGCGGATCTCTGCCGCGTCCATGATGGGATAATATCTGTACAAAAAGAAATAGTAATTCGATCGGTGCATGTCCACCAAGTTAGCTACAAGTATAATCCTTACGAAAGTACATGGAGATATCAAGATTTTACACTAAAATTTTAGTATCTCGATGTACTGGTACCTAGATATATCAAATTTTACATTATAAAATATAGTATCTCTCAGTACCTTCTCAATAATGGTAAAATTATCCTAGCTATAAAATGGGACGATTTTTGCTATATATCTGTACAATTTTTTTTCTTTGAAATCACGTGGATGTGTGGTTCCAAAAGAAATACCCGTTTGGAAAAATGGAAGTGTCTCGTCCGCAAAACTGGTTTTCCGTATATATAACTTAGGTCTCGTATAAAAATAAAAAATGTTTTCTTCTTCTAATTAGCTTTTCCTTTTATTTACATGAAACTTACAAAGTACAAACTACTCCTTACATATGCTAGTTACTATGCCAAGAGCTCATGCATTGCAACGGAAGACAAATTGGATTGGCCGAATTTAAAATATTATCTGTATCTGCGTGTATGAAAATTTGGACTTTGCTCTTTTGTCACGAGCTCCAGGGATTGACCTAATAGGATATGAGTGTGTGGTAGGAGGTCGGGGCTTCGGAGGCTTGGTAGACCAGCGACCCGTGGCGCCGGCGGGGACGAACAGAAGAGGATGAGAAAAACAGAGAAACGTAGATGAGAAGAATAGGCTGAACTGACTTAATTCATTATCACTCGAATTGCTCCTTAAATGAGCTTATAGATGAAACTAACAAGAGGGCTGCTACAAAACAGGATCCCATTACAACGGGATAGACATATTAACTATTCTCTTGTACGAGTATCACAGGTATCAGGTTTTAGGTATCATAGGTACCAGGTAACATGCATCACAGGTATCGGGTAGCATATAACTGGTACCACAACAGGTATCAGGTATTAGGTATTGTCTCGTAGAAGGGTATCCCGTTCCAATGGCTAACAAATGCTAGAAAGAAGGGATAAAACCACTAAACAAACTCTGAACCAAATCCTAACAAACCCAATCCAACCCACGGACACTGTAGCGCGACCTGCAAGCAATTCTTCAGGGCGATGCCACGGCAGCCGCGCTCCCAGCGTCGTGCGCGCCTGGCTTCTTGCGGCGTCGGTGATATGCAATCCCGACCATAACATCTTTGGACGTATATATGTGCATATCTAAATATCTAATGGAATTTTACTACATGTCTTTATGTTCTGAGTCAACGAGAGTAATGATAAGAAGTGTTGTGTTCTGGTCGGAGGATCGTAGGAGGGTAAGCGCTGCCACAATACAACGTGATGATTTTATTGTTTAATGAAATATCCATTTTTCTAAAAAAAGGGTGTTGGTCCTAGTAAATTGGCAATGCTGAATTCTTAGTGTGACAAATTCATACCTTCTGTCAACAAATTTATGTGCTTCTTCGTCGTGCTCGTTTTGTAGAACTGCAGATTTCTCACTTAAGTCTTCTTTCACAAAATGCTCCTGTTTCATTGGAGTCCTACATTCTTCCTCTCGTGTCCCCACACAGTCATTATCCTTATCATGAAAGGTCCAATCCACACACCGTATGTTGACGCTAGGACGTCCTGGATGCATCATAAAGGCGTTAGTCAAAGCTGACTCTGCAAATCTTCTACAATGATCATGAGCAGTACAGGCGACCCTAATTTTTGCAGAGATCTCTTCAAGTCCAGACAGATGTTCGATGCCAACAGGAATAATATCATGCTGATCTGCTATATGGACATCAAAACCTAGCTTGAGCTTCCTTAGACTAGGCATTGCACCCATCTCAAATTTCATCCATGCTACACTGCATATAAACTCGAAGTATTTGAGGATTGAGAACCCTGCATTGTCAAAGACAATCCTTTCTGCAGGCTTTGTGTGGACATAAAGTGACAAAACAGTGAGTTTCGGTAATACTCCTAGAACATCAATACTATTACTTGTTACTTCCCTTATCCCAATCTTCAAAATGCAGAGGTTTCCAAGCTGCCCAATCCAATTTGGGAGGTTAGAAAAGATGCAAACACATGGTAACAACTCAAACCTCTGAAGAAGGGCTGGTGGAGAGGACACACTGCTCCAGCCATCAACATTGATCCTCGTCCTGTCAATATGTAGAGTATCTGGACAGGAAGAGCCAGGAGGCGATAAAGTTATAGATGTGAGATTACGGAGTTTCCCCAGAATGGATCCAAGATATTTCATATTATCCTTCAGATTGTCAGAATGTATTTCAGAATAGGTGAGCTGCAAATCCCGGAGATTGCTCAGCTCACCAAGGCTCCATAGATTCTCCGCTGAGTTACAGCTGAGATCAAAATATCCAATTGTACGAAGCGATGTCATGTGGACAATTCCACTGGGCAGGTTTGTCTTAGCAGGAAGAGTAAGATGCAGCAAACGTGGCAAATAAATGTCTGTTGGAACTTCACTTATTGTCCCATCTATTTTCAGTGTCTCCAAATATGGTAGACCTTGCATCTGGGTTGGCAGTTTTACGGTGACATTAGAGGTGACCTTCAAATATCTCAGTCGAACAAGTTCTGAAATTTTAGTGAGATCAAAAATGCCGATGCTATCCTCATCACCCAAAATATGTAGAACTAGAACTTTAATAAGTCGAAACTCCATAACGAAAGGCATATACTTCAAGACCCCGAAGAAGGCAACTGTCCGAACTTGGGACAATCTCATACTGGTAGGCGGAGTTGCATCTTCTACGTTACTAAAGTGGATAGATAATCGTCGAACCTTGTCAGCAAATCTTATAGTTGCCTGTGAATGGTCTATTGCAATAATAAAATTTTCTTCTATTGACTTGTATGTAACGAAATTGAGTACCATATGGTGAACTACACAGGACAAAACCTCACCACTGTCATCGATATGTACAGGCTGGATGATTTTTCTGCCCACAAGCTCATCAAAATAGGCCCTTGAAATTTCTTCCTTGTCATGCCCTTCAGTTGCACAGATAAAACCTTCAGCTATCCATTGACTCACTAAATCATCTTTCCAAATTATGTGATCTTCTTGATACATACTAAGATACAACATGCATACCTTCAAATGCTGAGGAAGATTGTTGTAACAAATGTTCAGTAGTTGTTTCATCCCTTCCAAAGTAGGATTTGCCATCAAACCGTAACCTAAGGATTTGTTTATATAATCCAATTGTTCTTGTTTCTCAAGCTGGCTTGCTAAAAGACTAGCAACAGTGACAATAGCTAGCGGCAAACCACCACATTTCCTTACAATATCATATAATGTTTCACTGACTTCTGGAGGACACTTAGAATGAGAGCCAAAGACTATACTGAAAAATAGTTTTCTTGAGTCACCCTCACCAAAAGGTTTCATCTTGAAAATAAATTTCAAGTCATAACTACAAGATTGCAAAGCTAGATCCTCAATTTCTGTTGTGGTTAGTATTCTGCTGGAACTATTACCATCCGGCAAAGCGCACTTAATAACATCCCATGTGGATGTAGCCCATAAACCATCAATTATGATCAAGTACCTGCGATTAAGGGGAGAATTTTTAACATAACTAAATGGAAGCTCCACTTGTTGTTAGTATTCTGCTAGAATTTGCATGATGAAATGGTAAACATTAGGTGTAAGACGGATTTTTCTCTCGATTTTGTACACTATGCAACTTATAACAGCCATCTTGAGGCTAAAAATGATTAGAAGACATGATGAAATATAAGAGGTAGGATTAGAATAGGAAATGAGTGGATTGTTAAGATAAAATAAGGTGACAGGAATGGATGGCTACCATTAAACCTTACCCTTTGATGGGTGGGATATCTTTTCCCAATCTCATTTGCTAAATGAGCCCTAATTGTGGCTAAGGCTGATATCAGGGATAGCAAGCAACAGACACACCCTGCTATTGTTATGTTATACATTACATATAATTTAGTAGTATAGACTTCAGAGGAGCTGGTATCTGTCTTTCTTATCTATCTGCCACTTCAATGAAATATTGAACCCATGCATTCAATCCTTGACTAAAAAATTTGTATTTATACTTATGAAGATAATATTAGTATCAGTACAACAGTCAAATGCACCGATTAACAATTAGTAGCAGACACAAACAAAAACAAGGAAATAGTCAGTTTCACACCCCGAAAACATTGTACGTACCTCTTATCTTGCAGATGTGTCCTGATACTGGAAATTAGGCTATGCACCTTCCAATTGTCAGGTGACTGGTGCGGCTGAACCTGTGAGAGGATATTGATGAGAAGCCTCCTCATATCAGTCTTCTGAGATGTCTGCACAAATGCCCAGCACTCGAACTGCCGCTGAAGCTTGCAGTACAGCTTGTTGGCGAGCGTAGTCTTGCCAACTCCTCCAACTCCCACGATGGACACCACCTTGAGCTTCTCCTCTCCGCACACATCGAGCAAGTTTTCAAGCTTGTTCACCGCGGCGTTGATGCCAACAAGACCCGCGGACTCCATGAACCGCGTGGGTTGCCTAGATGAGGTAGAAGATACATCACCTCTAGTGGTAGTAGAAGTAGTGGTGATACCAGTGGGTATGTTTTTGAGCTTGTTCAGGATGGCTTCCACATCGGGGTGGATATGACGCACTTTATTGGCGTGCTCCCTGAACTGCACGAGAGAAGCAGTCGGGATACTAGCGAGCAAGTTTTTGAGCTTGTTCAGGTCATTCAGGGCAGCTTCCATACCATCGGCGTCTATACCGACAGAACAGACGTTGTCGGTGTGCTCTCTGAACTGCGTGGGATGCCAAGGTGTTGCAGAGCATACATCTCCTCCAGTAGTAGAAGCAATGGTGATGCCACCAAGGTTGTTGTACATGGTGTGGCGTTGAAGCGCCTCCTGGGTGCGCAGGCTGAATTCTCTGATCTTGTTGGCCATCCACAACCGCTGCTTAAGTTTCCAGGGAACCCAAGGGATCATCTTTCCATGCCGCTGATTGAACTTACGGCGACAAATATTAGGTCCAGTATGTGACCGGGTGGCAGTGGCGGCATGCTCATACTGGTCGATGCAATCCTCGATGTCATAAGAGAGCTCACGTACCTCCTTCATCCAGCACCTGACCACCATGGCATGGTCCTCCAGCTTTGGCTTGCTACAGTGACCATGGAGGACGGAGATTATTTCCTCGAGATCTTGCTTGATGAGAGGTATCTCCTCCTCTGCCCCCTTGGGCAGCATGCTGCCATGACGACGCAGGAGCCGGTCGAGCCTTCCTGGGAGGTTGAACATGGAGCCCTCCATTGATATCTTCTCTGTAAACAAATCAAGTGCATGTTACAGATTTGCATGGCATGGGGCATTAAATGACTGCAAACAAAGAGCTGAAAAAGAAGGAAATAATACAATGGAATCACTAAAACAGACAAGAGAGGGATTACTGAACCTACAAGCTGAAGGCATCAGATGATCAGAGTAGCATGAGCGAGCTCTCCAAGCGGTTGGACTTAGGAGAGAGTTCTTCCATTTTGCTTCATTCCTAGCTTCCAAATCCAATGCTTTCCTCTCCTTGAGGATTAGCTTTCGGTTTGCAGCCAACAGTGGTCGTCTGGTCAATTCAGCCATTCAACAATATTTTCTTCAGAATAAATGATCGATTGGCCACTGTGTGGTGTAGCTGTTGGACACTTCAATAATCACTACTTGACAAGCACTGAAGCACCTTTCAAGATATATGCTTTACACACCAATCCTCAAGTATCCCTGAAATTGAGAATTACATATCAATGCTCAAACTTCACATTATTTACATTTGTCTCAAAATGCAGACTCATCTGTCAAAGTTTCACAATTTACACACACTGCCCCATATTATGTTTTGCACATTTTATGATTTACAAATGCATGATACGCTGGACTATCGACAAAAAATATCTATCTTAAATAACTAAAAACCTGAATGGCAAAGAGCAAAACGATTAGTAAACAGGCTTTTACACTAAACGTAAAGGGATTAGTAGACAAGCTTTTGCACACACTAAAACAAATCCTTTCTCAATAAAAGCGCGCTTATTTTGTACTGAAATGTGAAATATGTTATGAATTTATGAACAAAAACCTTTCAGAGATATATGTCCTGTATTATGAACAAGATTCTTAAGTACCTTATCGATATAAAGCTACTGATCTGATTATCTGAATATTTAAAATGGCATTTAATGATCAGCAGTTTGTGTAAAAAAACACATACTTGTCAACAAAGATATTGTAATATGATTTTGCACTCAGTTGGGGGTATCCACGCATATACACATATGCATGGTGAGCTATTGACTTGCTGAAGACTTAGAGGTTGCATGCTTGCAGCTGCTGCTGCTCCTCCCTCTAGCAGTCTGTCTGATCCACAAAAGTATCTCTGCATCTCTTGTGTGAGCCAGGTCGCATGCAAGCAACAAAACACGCCCATACTTGTCCATAGAGTCTGCTGCGGCGAGTGCTTTCTGGGAGGCCATCATGGGGAAGCTGTTCATGGTGCTGGAGAACCAGTACAACAAGCACAAGGTCCTCGAGCAAGAAATCAGCTCCCTCCAGCAAGAGTTCCGCATGATTGCCGCCGTCATGGACGACCAGCTCCTTTCTATGGGCAGGAGCGAAGCACGCACATCTGTTGCATGGCTGCACAACGAGGAGATGCTCGATCTTGAGCATGACATTGAGGACTGCGTCGACCGTTTCATGCACCTCCTCACCTGCAAGCATCATCGTGGTGGGGTGCGCCAGATGGCACATGAGGTAAAGATCCGCTCGAGCTTCAGTGAAGAGATCCAGAAGCTCAGGAGGCGCCTCAGTGAGGTGCGCCAGTGAGTCGTCAACATCAATTCACCTATTGCCCGTCAATCAGCCAGGTCATCGTCATCGACTCCGTATCGTGCTGCGCACAGTCTGGTGGGCATTAGGCAGCCCATGGAGGAGCTCCTCTCGCTGCTAGATGAAGTGGAGGGCGAGCCAAAGCAGTTGAGGGTGACCTCCATCGTGGGGTTCAGTGGCTTGGGGAAGACCACCCTCGCCAAGGCGGTCTACGATAGCCCTCATGCAAAGGATAAATTCTGCCTCCGTGCGTGGATCACCGCTGATGGCTCACCGGAAACGAGCAATTGGATGAAGGAGATCCTGCGCGGTGTACTCCAGCAAGTGCGTCCCGGCGATGCCATGGATGTCGATGGCCAGCATCTTGAAGCCTCGCTCAAGGAGTACCTCAAGGACAAGAGGTGAACCTCACCGTTAGGCGCTTTTATTTTTATTTCCTTTACAAGAACATTTTTCATTTTTAAGTACACCAATAACTCTTCACGTGGAATGTTCTTGGTTCAATTAGCTAATTTAATTATCTAAAAGATTGTTCACTAATGACCATTGCATATGAAAATTTATTTTTACTTAACCTTTTCACCTTGTTTTTCAATTTGACCCTCTTAATATTCCTCCTCAATTCTCAATTTGGTTATTAGGTATTTAATTATCATCGATGACATCAGGATGGATCAATGGAGGATCATAAGTTCAGCCTTTGAAAATAATGGTACAGGCAGCAGGATATTACTTACCACAACTATTCAGTCAGTAACTAATAGGTGCAGCCATGGCAATGGTTATGTGTATCAAATGAACACACTTGGTAAAGAAGACTCTGAGGAACTAGCTTTTTCAGTGCTTAGATCACCTGAGTTGGAGAACCATTCAGAATCATTACTAGGGAAATGTGATGGTCTTCCTCTTGCTCTGGTCAGTGTCTCTGATTATCTGAAGAGCTCAACTGAGGCAACGGGAGAGTTGTGTGCAAAGCTATGCCGTGATCTGGGTTCTCATCTGACAGGAAACCATGGCCATGACAACTTTTCAGAACTCAGGAAGGTGCTTCTTGGCAACTATGACAGTTTTTCCGGCTCTGCTCTGAGTTGCTTGCTGTATCTTGGTATATTCCCAAACAATCATCCTCTCAGGAAGAAAGTTCTAATCCGGCGGTGGTTAGCTGAAGGAAACGCAAGAAGTGATGACCCTTGGCGCAGTGAAGAGGACACTGCAGATGACAATTTCAGTAACCTTATTGACCAGAATATCATTCAGCCAGTTGACACAAGAAACAATTCTGAAGTGAAGACGTGCAAAACTCATGGAATTATGCATGAATTTTTGCTGAACAGGTCCTTGGCCAAGAGATTCATCACGACATCACCGCATGATCCAAGAGTTGGAATCAATACTACCAATTCACGCCACCTTTCTGTTGATGCTGCTAAACAGACAAAATGCATGGCATCTGACGAGGAATTATCTCGAGTCCGATCTCTGACAATCTTTGGGGATGCAGGTGATGCAATTTCTTATCTTCACAAGTGCAATCTGATACGAGTCTTGGATCTACAAGAATGCAGTGATTTGAACGATAATCATCTGAAACGCATATGTGTACTGTCACCGTGGCATCTGAAATACCTGAACCTTGGGGGCAATATCAGTGAGCTTCCAAGGAGTATTGAAGGGCTGCATTGTTTAGAGACACTGGATTTAAGGGAAACAGAGATAAAGTTTTTGCCCATTGAAGGTATCATGCTGCCCCACTTAGCTCACTTGTTTGGAAAGTTTATGCTTCACAAAGATGATCTGAACAATGTGAAGAAGATAAGTAAACTATTAAAATTGTTTTCATCAAATAAAAGCAACTTGCAAACTTTAGCAGGATTTATCACTGACGGGAGGAAAGGATTTCTTCAACTTATTGGTCATATGAAAAAACTGAGGAAGGTTAAGATATGGTGCAGGCATGTTGAAGGTAGCAGTAATTACATTGCTGATCTTTCAAAGGCCATTCAGGAATTTACCAAGGCTCCCATTGACATGGACAGAGTCCGTTCTCTCTCAATTGATTCCGAAGAATACTGTGAAAAATTCCTAAGTTCACTTGATTTGGAGCCATGCTCTGAATATTCGAAATACCATCTAAGTTCACTAAAGATACATGGCAAGTTACTCCGGTTGCCTCCATTTTTTAGTTCTTTGTCAGGTCTCATTGATCTGTGTATTACACCAGCTACTCTGACACAAGATCATCTATCAGCACTGATAAATCTGAACAGACTGCTGTACCTCAAACTGATTGCTGACAAGCTCGAGAATTTAGAGATAAAACATGAAGCACTACTGAGCCTGAGACGCCTGTGCTTTGTGGTGAAAAGTGTGGCGTTAGCGCAGCCAAAAATCGAGCAAGGAGCTCTACCAAACCTTGTTTCACTTCAGCTGCTCTGTCAAGGACTAGTTGGTCTTTCCGGCATCGAGATCAGACACCTGAAAAATCTCAAGGAAGTTACGATTGACTCTGGAGTGACTGCGCAAACAAGGCAAGATTGGGAACAAGCTGCAAAGAACCACCCTAACAGGCCTAGAGTTTTGTTGCTCGGAAAGGTTGATCCAGTGGAAAGCGAGGAACCGGGAAGACCCTGTGCCATAAGGGGGAGGGGGAAAAGTTCTATAGGCCAAGAAAGTTCAGAAGATGGTTCAGATTCTAGCCTTAAGAGGATGAGACTTGCAGAGCCTTCTTCTTCTTCGCAGCTTCAGGTGACCGGCCATCCGCATCCGGTGGTGGTAGCAGCCACCGAAGCAGCATCCCAGCCTTCCATGGCAAATCTCTAGCACATTTATACAACTTAAGCAGACAGGCTGCAATAAAGACTGTAATATTGACCTTTTGCAGAGTTAAATGTATCCTATATATCGGGATACCCAAATTATGAACCGAGTTTCGTGTAAAAAACATGGGTTAATGTCTGAAATTTCTGCTTTTCTTACTGAAACAAAAACTGAATGTAGTTGAAGTTCAACTTTAAGGACTACTAGTAGTTCTTCTTACGAAGAATGTAAAACACGCATGATGACTTAATCAGTGTGCCCTCGTCGATCAAAACAAAGTCCCCCAAGTTGTAAATTCTGACGGAGCTTCCTTCTCATCTCATCTCACCAGAATAATGCAACAAATCAATAGGACAACACCGCTATTCAGATCCTGTGTGGAGGACTCACCGAATCCGGCGGCCGGCCGGCCGCGATGCAGACGAGGGCTCCCTCCGCCCCATCCGCCCATCGAGGATCGACCAGATGGACGGACGGAGGAAGAAGAATGGACGGGCGCAGAAGAACAAGATGGAGCTCCCCCCCTCGTACTCGCAGGTAGCGTGCCTCCATTGCCGTGGGAATTGGGACGCGGCGGTGCGCGCCGCCGCTCTTCCCCTCCCCATCCCCTCGTCGTCGTCGGGCTCCAGGTTGTCGATCTTAGGGGACCTAAAGTGAACTTAATCTCGATCTTACTACCTCTTGTTCTAGATGGACCGAGCCCAGGATCGGTTGCAATTGTAGCGATCCGATGTCTTGACAGGTGGGGCCCGTAATTCACAAGGAAAAAGTCTATTATCCTTCCCTCACTACAAGGCCGAGTTTGATTCTCGTCCCTGCAGAACCAGATACCTCGTACCTCCATCGACTATCAATACCAGTTTGTTTTGACTCTCTTGGCAGTTTGCAAGGCAGTTTCAGCTTATGTGGAGCCTACTCCCTCCATTCCACAAAAAATGAATATAGAACTGGATATGACACATTTTAATACAGTAAATCTGGACAAAGGTATGTCCAGATTCATAATAGTAAGATATGTCATATTCAGTACGAGGTTAATTTTTTATGGGATAGAGGGAGTACATGGTACGTTGATTAGTAGTCATTGCATCTTTATCTCTATCTCCATCTCTATCTTTATCTCTTTTCTATCTCTATCTCTATCTTTATCTTTACTATTATAAAAATTCAAAATGTTTTTCCTAGTGGCTTGGTACGTCATCCCACTCCTACACATGCGTGGCTTGGGCACGGTCTGATCAATCCACACGCACTGTGATTTTGATTTTCCAGTGAAAAACAAAGATGCCCACGAGTACTACGCCCGTCTACGGCACAACACAAGTACTTAACATGATCTGGCCAACTATTGTGGATCATCCTATTTGATCTGGCCTATTTTAGGATAGGCTGCCCAGGAGTTGCAAATGTATAGAGTAGAAACCCAGTTGAAAAAAAAATCCATTTTCCTCTATCAATTATACCCCAATTTAATTTTTTACCTCACCCGTAAAACCATATGTGGAGGTTTCCACAAATATCATAGCCGTTTCGTTTTTCTTTAGAGAGAGGTATTATTCTAAATGATATATTTATCCGACGTGACGCTTATATTGTAGTACTCCCTCCATCCCTAAATGTTTGACGCCGTTGACTTTTTTAAACATGTTTGACCGTTCGTCTTATTCAAAAACTTTTGTGAAATACGTAAAACTATATGTATACATAAAAGTATTTTTAACAATAAATCAAATGATAGGAAAAGAATTAATAATTAATTAAATTTTTTAATAAGACGAACGGTCAAACATGTTTAAAAAAGTCAACGGCGTCAAACATTTAGGAGATGGAGAGAGTATATTATAGTTAGCAAAAAAAAATCAAGGGGATCCACGTGTCAGTGACACACCACCCCCTCATTTTCTCTCTCTCTCTCTAGCTTCCTTCTTCATCTTTCCTCTCTCTTCTTATCTCTTCCTCCTCTCCACCAAGCTCCTGATGCAAGTAGTGTCCAAGAAAGAAACAAAAGAATCACTAAAACTCAACACACACGAAATGAGTTTTTCTACGAAGATTGTTTCGACTGCATTTTATTTTTACTTTTTTTTTTTTGCCTTGGACATAACCATTTGGAGTGTACACAATCCTCAACCAGGACATCCCTTCATAAAGGTGCCATATATATGATCCGGAAAACAACATCCATGTGTGAGTTTGAGCATCATTGTACATGAATTAACTAAAACACTTACAGTAAATGCAATATCTGATAGAGTGCAATAAGAAAGATAAACCAGTCGCCTAACAAGCCTGTGACAGCACTTGTCTTGAAACCAAGAAGGGACGAGAACCGAGCAGTGCTCGGGTGGCTAGCGTCGCTGGTGTGCGAGCAGTCCACACGAGTTCGATTTCTGGGATCGCAACTCGCGTGTCTCACCTAGCTAGGGTTTTTCCCTGTTTTCCCTAGGATCAATTTTGGTTGGTCCTGGTTAGAAAATAGGGTACACACGTGGGTGCTTCAGTGGGAATACACGTTTCCCGTGCACTGAGGCTTAGTGCCTCCTAGGCCTCCAATATCAATTCTAGCGTGTGTTGAGAAACGCGCACGCGTGTGTGTGGGCGCGCGTAGTGTATGAGTGTGGTGTGCGTACGTGTGCGTCCTGAGCTGTACCCTCTAAAGAAAAAAAGTAGGTATGAAAGTCCCCACCTGACATGCCAAGCTCTTTTATAATTAATGTATAATCCCTTAAAGCAAAATCTTCGGTTCGCCGAAACACATCAGTACGTAGTACAACATAGCATTGGCGGCCATCCATTGGGCAGACTAATTATTCCGATTGCTTGAGCAACTGCACTTTTCTCGGTCTCGTTCGAGCTTCTGCATGAATCCATTTTAGCATAGTGAGAGCTTTATAATTTCAAGTGGATACTTTTCTTATCTACCAATATCTTTTTCAATTTACTGTAATATAATTTGTCCCAATAGTGTAACTTATATGTTAGACCCTTTTTTTCCATGGTGTGAAATAAAGTATGTTCTGAGTTAAACTTAAAAGTATAATTTGGTTACATCCCTTACTAAATATGAAAAAAAAAATCCAACATAGAGATGAACGTAAGAAATTAAAACACATCTTATTAGTTAACTGTGAATATATAAAGAACATAAACCAAAAAGTTATAGTGAAGTTGTACACTTGTACTAAAGTTGCAATTTTATATACTACCTCTGTCTCATAATAATTGTATTTTTAGGATTTGAATTTGTCCTAAAATAATTATCACAATAGAGTACTAATGATCCCATTAATCACTTATCATCCAAATTTCTTTCTATTTTACCTCAACTACCCTCTACTTTTACCTATAAACCATATAATAAGGGGTATTATAGTCTTTTTCCCCCTCAAATCTTAATATATACTAAATAACCTAGAATTACGATTAATCTAGGACAGAGGTAGTATCTTCCAAGTTAAACTGTGCCACTTAGATTGGCATCCCTTTATGAGCTCATAAACAAAAGTTACACACACACTCACTCTCTCAATGAGCTCCTTTACGGTGCTCCATCTCACCAATCCAAATCCAAGAGGTAAAAAGCCTATTATACAATCCTAGCCACTAAAAGTTTCGTGGTTTATCTTGCCAATCTAAGAGGTAAGAGTCAATTACACAATCCCAGTTACTAAAAGTTCCGTGATTTATCTTATGCCAAATAAAAGCCATTTTGTTCTCATATGACCTTAGATGAAGACATGCTCTGTATCAAAATTGTATATCTCAATGCCATCTACAACTCTCTATAAATATGTGGTTGACAACATTTTCATTTTACATCACTTACATGCCAAAATATGTGTTTGAAGTTATCATTTCTATTTCCAAATGAATTTTTGAAGTTTTCAAATAAGCTTGGTTAATGGCTTGAAATTGTAGAGCTTAGAGCTCTCGGCGAGATCTACAGCTCTATAGTTGATTACCGTTTTATTTGAAATCATTTATAGTGTTAAATATGTATTGCAAATTTTGGAGAAAGGTGAACTAAAAAATTGCATCCCTCATTTAAGAAAAAGTGTTTTATATGTGAGATGGTAAGTAGCCTGAGTTCCTAGGTTCGAACCTTATATACTGCACGTGTATGAATATCACAACTTTGTGTCTTAGGGACGACCATGTATAAATACTTAAAATACATATAAGATATCGATGTTGCCTATCCTATTATAATGAATCTGGACAAGCGGCTTATATATTCTAATGTGAGTTATTTTGAAACGGAGGGAAGTAAAATATACCTAGTAAAATATGACAAATCTTTTTTGGTTTTCTTTGGCACATGGAAAAAATCATGTCACTGACGCGGCTAAAACTAGATACAGAGACACAGATCTTCACATCACATATGCAGACCTACATACACGCGCGCGGGTATGTGAGTATCTCGCATCTATAATCCATATTAACCGGCCCGCGTCTATGATTAACAATTCAGTGTAATGTTTGATATTTTCTATTTGTTAGTCCCCTAAAATTCAACAATACATAAAATTGGAATGTTAGTATAACTCTGTGGCAACTTTATTAAATACTATCTCCGTCCCGAAATATAAGAAGTTGTGATTGGATACAGGTATTAAGAAAGTTACTGAAATTAAATGGAGAATATTGTGATCGGTTGAGAAAAAAAAGAGGTATATAGAAAATTTGAATGGTAAAAGTTTGTGATTTGTTGAAAAATTTTGAAGTTTAAAAGTTGTTATATTTTGGGACGGATGAAGTGCTAGAGAGAAAATTCCCGCGCCAGTTGGCGTGCCCGTTATTTCATGCCCCATGTATACTTGTTTCTTCTTTCTGCTAACAGGTTGACCAAGTTTATATGTAAACTAGAAAATCAGCGCGCCTATTGGCGTGCTAACTTGTTTATAGCCTATGTGGCTAATGGCTTACTATTAGATGATGTTGGTTTGTTGATTTGTAGGAATGAAGATGGTGGGCGATGTTCTTTCGGCTATTATTTTTCATGTCGGAGTTATTATTTTTTGCAATATTTCAAGTTGTAGATTCTCTTTATTCTTTGCGGATAAATCTTGCGCTTCCTTTTATCGTGACAGCAATGTTGTAAACTTATAATTTCTTATCGTTTTTATCATTCCTGTGTTGAAAAAAAGATTGATTATATATTTGACATTATTTATAGATATTTAATTTTCCTATTTATTGTTTTTTTTGTTTTTCGAGAATACCAATGTTGTCATCTAGTGACTTGGATATGGTGTATCGTGTTTACTAAATGTACATTTATTTTTTCTAACCTATAGTATCTCATATTTTAACAGATCAGTTTTTTCTACTTAATTTCTCACCTTGTCTAATTTTTCTCTACTTCTTTTGTCTCAGTTGTTGTCCATTGGTGTAACGAAATGTTGTCTGATCCTGCGCGTGATTAACCGAAGATGCTACGCGCAAAGCGTCGCTTAGGCCCTGTTTAGTTCCAAAGTTTTTTTTTCCAAACTTCCAACTTTCCATCACATCAAATCTAAAAGTTTTAGGGGCAAAATACTCACGACAATTTTCTAGCAAATCCGATTATAAAGGCCATCTGCATTTTTTTTCTTCCCCGTCGTACATACTTCCACAAGATTAATTGATTTATCCCAAAAAAGTATGAAATAGTGAAGTTATATATCAGATAGAAAATCAAATATAGTTGGCACATTTACAGATAGATCTTTTTCAGATAATCAAATTCATTCCGACCTTGACTTCAAAAGAAGCTACAACCAATTTACCGATAGATAGTCTATGAGAAAATATCTTCTATACCCTTGAAATTTTAGCTAGTCCTTTCTATATCCCTGAATTTTGCTTACTTATACACCCACGAAATTTGATTTTGATCCCTTCCATATCCCTCCCGTCAGTTGACCGTCTAATTTCTATAAAAACGACCATTTTACTCTTTGGATGAACATAGAAATTTATGAATTACATTATTAAAAATGTAAAAGTTTGTCGCATGAGACTATTATGGGTATGATTTTGTTGTGCGATGCATTATTTATCACAAAATTTATTTTTAGATGATGAAATAAAAAATATGTATTTATTTTTAAAAAAAGTCATAAAAAATTGACGAGCATTCATATAAATATAGGACTAACAATGCTCCCAATAATATTTTTAGGAATGCTCTCGATAAAAAAAATCCATTGTCCTATTAAAATTTCGAATAAATATTTTAATTTATTACATTTGTTTCATTTTCAAAACTTATGTCAAAATTTTCTGCACTAAATATTTAGTCTTATTAGTTTCATAAAATACACATATTATGCACTCAAACAAAATTTTCAATCGTTTTTCAAGACTATATTCAAACCTAAAGCATCAAAGGCAAAAAGACATTTGCAACCAAATGCAATAGTGAAATGAAGGAAAATATAACGGTAGGTAGGGGCATGAAAGGGATCAAGTTGAAATTTCAGAGGTATAGAAGGGATCGGATAAATTTAAGGGGTATGAAAGGGATTGAGTGAATTTTTAGGGGTATATAGGGAATTTACTCGTAGTCTATTGGTATATTTAATTCACGCTCATGGCACAGTGTTTCTGTAAATTTTGCTGAAAATGTACTATACCTCTTATCTTGCAGATGGGCCCTGATACTGGAAATTAGGCTATGCACCTTCCGATGGTCAGGTGGCTGGTGCGGCCGAAGCTGCGAGAGAATGCTGGTGAGGATCTCCTCATATCAGGCTTCTGGGATGCCCGCACAAATGCCCGGCACTCAAATTGCCGTCCAATTTTTCTGTACAGCTCGTTGGCAAGAGTGGTCTTCCCGATTCCTCCAAATCCAACAATAGACAACACCCTGAGCTTCTCCTCTCCTGCGTGTCCAGACAGATAGTCCTCGAGCTTGTTCATGGCGGAGTCAACCCCAACAAGGACGTCCTCGGCACGTTCCTCGCACCGCACAGGACGCAAAGAAGAGCTAGAAGATACATCGATACCACAGGTGTTAGTAGAAGCAATGGCAGCGGTGGTGGCTACGCCATGCATGGTTGCTGTACATGGCATGGCGTTGAAGCGCCTCCTGCGCGCGTGTGCTGAACTCTCTCATCTTGTTGGCCATCCATAGCCGCTGCTTCAGCTTCTCTTGAACCCAAGGTGGCAGCTTGTTCCCATGCCGCCGGTTGAACTTACGGCGGCGAATATTATCATTAAATCCGCTTCGAGAGTTGGCCATGGCATGCTCATAGTGGTCGATGCAGTCCTCGATGTCGTAGGACAGCTCTCGCACCTCCTTCATCCAGCACCTCACCACCATGGCATTGTCCTCCAGTTTTGGCTTGCTGTATCCATGGAGAATGGAGATTATCTTCTCGACATCCTGCTTGATGAGTGGTAACTCGTCTTCTGCCCCGTTGGGCAGGATGTTGCCGTGACGACGCAGAAGCCCCTCGAGCCTACCGGGGAGGCTCGGCATGGCGCCCCACAAGCCACAGGTCGACAGAACCTCCTCCTCCATTTGATATCTTCGATTCTCTGAAGACAAATTAAAAGTGCAATACAGAGATTAGCCAGGTCCGCGTATTAGATCACAAAGAAACAACGATGGTGAATTAATGAGAGAGTAATACAACAACATTGATCCTACAAAAGAACAAAATTGATCATACAAGTTGACGAAGAGTAGGATGAGAGATGTCTCAAGCTCTCCGCGCGCACAAATGGGGTGGTAAGGCAAATAGGACAGATCTGTTCCCCACTTTGCTTCATTTCCTAATTCCCAAGGTCGATCGTCACTCCTTTCCTTTCTTCCACATTGTCTGTCCTTTGGTATACATCACTCGAATACGCCATTGCAGTTGGTAATTAAATTCATGGATATGGTCTATATATATACCACTCGTTCGTTATATTCAAGTTGCTCTCACAGTCTCACGCTAGAGATAATACCAATTAATGTCAACTAGGCCATGTGAACTGTTGCTGCCAGAGAGTATCCATAATTTCCATCTCCCTGTCGATAGATTAATACGTAGCAACTCTGACCATGTCAATGTTATTATATACTGCTACATCACTCCTAAAATAAGTGCAGCCATGGATATCCGTGTTCAACGTTTGACCATTTGTCTTATTTAAAAAAATTATAAAAGATTAATCACACATAAAATACTATTCATATTTTATCATCTAATAACAATAAAAATATTAATCATAAAAAAATTTCAAATAAGATGAATGGTCAAATGTTGGATATGAACAGTGCAAAACTGCACTTATTTGGGGACGAAGAGAGTACCTCCTTTTCAAAATGTATAACGCCATTGACTTTTTCATAATGTTTGACCATTCAATTTATTCAAAAATTTAGTATAAATATGTAAAATTATAAGTTAAGATTATATTTTATTTGATACAACACTATCATTGCCAGCTACTAGCACAAACCTACAACGAGAAAATATTGTTGTTCCGTGCCACGAACCAGTATTATATTGTTACTGTTATATAGTCCGTTTGACGGCAGTGATACATCGAAGTAAGTACCCTCCCAAAAAAAAGAAAAAAAATGCGGCCCATCTTAATCTTGAAAATATTTTTTCAGTACATAATCTTCATATTAGTGCCAACTTTCTTCCTTATTATTGACTACGCATTGATTGTTCATAATGAATTTGAGGTGGTTGATCTGGGAGTGGATTCTAATCCATACTGGGGACATCCCCTTTATACCTTTTCTTTCCAAATTTCAATTTACAATGTAGAGTACGGTGATATCTATGGTCCACTAAAAATCAAGTTCAAATTCAACCTACATATCGAGAAACATTTTTTTTTACAAATTCAGATGTGAGCAGTACAGCTACTACTCATATGCTAAATTTGTCTTTTTTATATCTCAACGTGTGAGTTGAGTTTGGAACTAAAATTTTATAGAGTTGTATAGATATATTGTATGAGTGTTTTTAATTTTTTCTAAAACTTTTCATAACTGTTCGGATAGTTTTTAAGCAAACCTGAAGAGATCAAAATACTTTCCCGGTTAATCTGAATAATATATTTATCTATTGGTTGGGTTCTCTTATTGCATCGAAGAAATATAGATGACATTGGACTACTAGCCCATGAGATTGTGGCGGTTCAAAAATAGATCATGACGTACGTTCTTCCTGATGCAATGCATTAATATGTACGGCTTGTTTCCACGATCCAGAAATTGTTGATCTCGGCATTATTCATGCTTCAGATCTTGAATCGTCTAATGTGGTGAACCGTAAGAACCCTTCTTTCACCGTAGTGAGCTAGCATGGACCGTCTAATCTCCTCTAGAGTGACTGCGCAAACAAGGCAAGATTTGGTGTTTTTTAAACAAAAAACAGTTCATAATTTGGGTATCTCGATATATAGGATACATCATATATGTAACTATGCAAAAAGTCAATTCTACACCTTAATATTGTAATCCTTATTGAAGTCCATCTGCCGAAATTGTATAAATGTGCTAGAGATTAATTTGCCATGGAAGGCTGGGATGCTGCTTCGGTGGCCGTTACCACCACCGGATGCGGATGGCCGATCACCTGAAGCCGTGAAGAAGAAGGATCTGAAAGTCTCATCCTCTTAAGGCTAGAATCCCGTTCATCTTCTGAACTTGCCTGGCCTACACAAATTCTCCTCTTCTCCATTGGTCTTCCCGGTTCCTCGCTTTCCACCGAATGAACCTCTCCGAGCAACAAAACTCTAGGCCTGTTTGGGTGGTTCTTTGCAGCCTGTTCCCAATCTTGCCTTGTTTGCGCAGTCACTCTAGAGTCAATCGTGACTTCCTTGAGGTGTTTCAGGTGTCTGATCTCGATACCAGAAAGACCGACTAGTCCTTGACAGAGCAGCTGGAGTGAAACAAGGTTTGGCATAGCTCCTTGCTCGAACTTTGGTAGTGCTGAAGCCGCATTTTTCACCACAAAGCATAGGCGCCGCAGGCTCAGAAATGCTCCTAGTTTTATCTCGAAATTCTCGAGCTTGTCTGCAACCAATTTGAGGTAAAGCAGGCTGTTCAGATTGGTCAGTGCTGACAGATGCTCTTGTGTCAGTGTAGCTGATGAAATGCACAGCTCAATGAGACCTGACAGCAAGGTAACAAACAGGGGCAACTGGAGTAAGTTGCCATGTAGCTTCAGCGACTTCAGAGTATATTTGTAATCTTCAGAGCATGGCTCCAAATGAATCGAACTCAGGAAATTTTCAGAGCATTCTTCGGAATCAAGTGAGAGAAAACGGACTCGGTCCATGTCAATGGGAGTCTTGGTAAATTCCTGAATGGCCTTTGAAAGATCAGCAATGTAATTACTGCTACCTTCAACATGCTTGCACCATATCTTAACCTTCCTCAGTTTTTTCATATGACCAATAAGTTGCAGAAATTCCTTTCCTTCTTCAGTGATAAATCCTGCTAAAGTTTTCAAGTTGCTCTTATTTGATGAAAAGAATTTTTGTAGTTTACTCATCTTCTTCGCATTTTTTAGATCATCTTTGTGAAGCATGAACTTTCCAAACAAGTGAGCTAAGTGGGGCAGCATTATAGCTTCAATGGGCAAAAACTTGATCTCCGTTCTCCTTAAATCCAGTGTCTCTAAACAATGCAGCCCTTGAATACTCCTTGGAAGCTCATTGATATAGCCCCCAAGGCTCAGGTATTTCAGATGCCACAGTTCATACATGTGTTTCAGATGATCGTCATTCAAACCATTGCATTCTTGTAGATCCAAGACTCGTAGAAGCTTGCACTTGCGAAGACAAGAAATTGTATCACCTGCATCCCCAAAGATTGTCAGAGATCGGACTCGAGATAATTCTTCGTCAGATGCCACGCATTCTGTCTGTTTAGCAGCATCGACAGAAAGGTGGCGCGCATTGCTAGTATTGATTCCAACTCTTGGATGATCATGCAATGATGTCCCGATGAATCTCTGGGCCAAGGACTTGTTCAGCAAAAACTCGTGCATGATTCCATGAGTTTTGCACGTCTTCACTTCAGAATTGTTCCTCGTGTCAACAGGCTGAATGATATTCCGGTCAATAAGCTTTCTGAAATTCTTATCTGCAGTGTACTCTTCGCTACGACGAGGGTCATCGCTCCGTGCATATCCTTCTGCTAACCACCGCCTGATTACAACTTTCTTCTTGAGAGGACGATTGTTTGGGAATATACCAAGATACAGCAAGCAGCTCAGAGTATAGCCAGAAAAACTGTCATAGTTGTCAAGGAGCACCTTCCTGAGTTGTGCAAAGCTGTAATGGCCATCCTCTTTCAGATCAGAACCAAGGTTGAGGCACAGCTCTGCACACAGCTCTCCTGTGGGCTCACTTGAGCTCTTCAGATAATCAGAGACACTAACCAGAGCCAGAGGAAGGCCATCACATTTCGCTAATAATGATGCTGGACCTTGCCCCGGTTCAACTGATCTGAGCCCTGAAAATGCTAGTTTCTTGGAGTCCTCTTTGCCAAGGGTCTTCATTTGGTACACATAACCGTTGCCATGGCTGCACGTATTAGCTACTTGCTGATTATCTGTCGTCACTATTATCCTGCTGCCTGTACCATTGTCTGGAAAGATCGACTCTATGATTCTAAGTTGATCCACATCTATGTCATCGATGACAATCAAATACCTAACAGACAAAAATGTACAAATGATAAGCAAATAAATCACAAATCCTGCTAATGTAATAGTCATTAGTTAGAGATTTGCTCCGGTCCAACGAAAAGTACCTCGAGAGACTGGTACCTTACGGTGCAAAATCGTTTCCGATCGTTGGATCTAACAATACCCATCTTGTCTAGCTAGATCTAACGCTCAGAAACGATTTGGTACCGTGAGGTACCGATACCTCGTGTTACTTTTCGCCTAATACCTCCTAATACTAGTACTTACAGTAAAATCATTGAGAAAAAAAAATGAGGCGCAATTACCTCTTGTCCTTGAGGTACTCTCTGAGCGAGGCTTCGAGATGCTGGCCATCCACATCCATGGCGTCACCGGGACGCACTTGCCGGAGTACATCACGCAGGATCCCCCTCATCCAGTCGCTCGTCTCCGGCGAGCCAACGGCGGCGATCCACGCACGGTGGTAGAATTTCTCCTTTGTGCGAGGGTCATCGTAGACCGCCTTGGCGAGGGTGGTCTTCCCCAATCCACCGAACCCCACGATGGAGATGACCCTCACCTGCTCCGGCTCGCCCTCCACTTCGTCTAGCAGCGAGAGGAGCTCCTCCATGGGCTCCCCGATGCCCACCGGAGGACCGCACGCGGCGCGAGCCGGAGTCGATGACGACGACCTCGGCTCGAATCCACTAGGCGGCGGATTCGGATTGATGATGTTGCTGATGACCCGCTGCTGCGCTTCGCTGAGGCGCCTCCTCAGCTTCTGGATCTCTTCACTGAAGCTCGAGCGGCTCTGGACCTTCTTGACCTCGTGCTTGACTCGGCAAACCAGGGATGTTCTTCCGCTGGGATTGCTGTGGCTGCAGGTGAGGAGGTGCGTGAAGCGGTCGACGCAGTCCTCGATGTCGTGCTCGAGGTCGAGCATCTCCTCGGCGTGCAGCCGCGCGACGGCCGTGCGGGCGTGGGCGTCGCTCCTCCCCATGGAGAGGAGCTGGTCGTCCATGGCGGCGGCGACCATGCGGAACTCCTGCTGGAGGGAGGCGACCTCTTGCTCGAGGGCCTTGTGCTTGTTGTACTCCTTGTCCAGCACCATGAACAGCTTCCCCATGACCGCCTCCAAGAAAGCGCTCGCCGCCGCAGACGCCATGGACGTCGGCGTGCCTCTCGATACGATTACTTTGCTGGATCAGACAGATTGGCTGAGGGAGAAGCAGCTGCGAGCAAGCACCCTCCAAGTCTTCCACAAGTCAACAACCCACCAGTCTCGTGTATATGATGCGTGGATACCCCCAATCTTGGGTAAAATTAGATGTTTGGGTGGGCTAAATTTTTTAGTTCTATCACATCGGATGTATGTGTATACGTACGGCTGCGTTCGAATCTTCTCATCAGGATGAAGATTAAAAGTGGGCACACAAAAACAAGGAAGCTATTAGCGCATGATTAATTGTGTTTTAATTACTACAAATTTGAAAAATGGATATATTTTATATTTTAAAGCAACTTTTATATAGAAAGTTTTCATACAAAGTGCACCGCTTCGTAGTTTGAAAAGCGTGCTAACGGAAACCGAATTAAAATTTTTATCATCATGAGAAAAGAACTGAGCGATTTGGAGTATTAAAAATAGATTAATAAAAAACTAATTTCATAAATGAGAGCTAATCCGCGAGACGAATTTTTTAAGCCTAATTAATCCATAATTAGCAAATGTTTACGGTAGTATCACATAGGCTAATCATAGATTAATTAGGCTTAATAGATTCATCTCGCAAATTAGTCTAAGATTATGGAATAGGTTTTGTAATTAATCTATATTTAATACTCTAAATTAGCGTCAAACATCCGATGTGACAGGAACTAAAATTTAGTCCCTGTGAACCAAACATATGGACCAAACAGGGCCAGGCACACATTTTAGTCTAGGGGTGTAAAGTTTTGGCGTGTCACATCGGATATATGGACACACATTTGAAGTATTAAATATAGCCTAATACCAAAACAAATTACAGATTGCGCCTGTAAACTACGAGACGAATTTATTAAGCCTATTTAATCCATTATTAGCAAATGTTTACTGTAGCACCACATTATCAAATCATGGACTAATTAGGCTTAAAAATCCGTCTCACAATTTACACCAAACTGTGTAATTAGTTATTTTTTTTGTCTATGTTTAATACTTCATACATGTGTCCAAACGTTCGATGTAATAGGGTGTAAAATTTTTGCCTAGGAACTACACAGGGTTGTACTCCTCCCACTCAATTTCAAATACTTACTTATCACCGAATACTATTTATTTATTTATTTACTTTAATAGCTCGTATATACTTCAAAATACCCCTCCGTTTTATATTATAAGTCATTTGATTTTTTTTCTTAGTTAAAGTTCTTTACATTGATAAGTATGTAAAATAATAAACAGCATCTACAACACTAAGGGTCTATTCACAAGAACAGTTTCCCAACCCTAATAGTAAATACGGAAAATGAAGCAGTCTATTAGCGCACGTGATTAATTAACTATTTGTTATTTTTTTTAAAAAAATGGATCAATATAACTTTTTACAAAAAACACACCGTTTAACAGTTTGAATAGCGTGCGCGCGGAAAACGAGAGCAAGGAGTTGGGAACCAGCTCTTGCAAACAGAGCCTAAATTAGTTTCATTAAAATTTACATTGAATATTGAATATATTTTGATAATATGTTTTTTATTCATAATATTACTATTTTTTTTACAAACTTGATTATAAAAGAAGTTTGACAAAAAAAAAATCAAAGGTAGTATGATATATCAAAGGTCATAAATATGCTATACAACTTCTATTAATCACAAATGAATTGTTTCACAGTTATTGATGATCCAAGCTGAAAATGGTCAACAGTGCCTAAGCAAAGGAACGACTACAAAGCAAGTGGATATATTCCGTTACAAGTGGAAACTCTTTTGGATTCTCAAGGAGATGTTACCTCATTTTAACCATCTAAATAGTCTGAAAAATTCTCAAAAAATTTGACAACATTCATATTCATACAACATGTATATTCTATTCTACAAAATCTTAGATCCAAGCTTTATACATTTCCATATAAAAATGTTCCGGTATAAATAGTAGTGGTACTATTTAGACCAGAATTTGTCTCCTTTTTTTTCCTCAATATGTAGGTTGAATTTTAGGGGTGAAAATGGATTAGGTAATATCTGATCCGATCTGCTCTGAATCCGTCCGAAAAAAGGATATGCTATGGGTTTTTAGATATCCAGCGAATAGTAAGATACGAATTCGGATGCAGATATGGTATTCCTATAATCCGGCGAATGTGAATTATCGACATTTTTATTGGACCAATAGGCCATTTGCCAGATAATCCGAAATTATCAATCCATGTAACCACTCGATCTGTTGCATATAACATGAGTTGGCCTGTCCAATGGTCTAATTCATCAATTAACCTAGATTTCTTAGTCTAAGGCTTTCATCGTATCATCTCACACTTGCTTAACTGCATTTTTATATTTATGGACATCATGTATTCATGTTATTTAGCACTTAAGCATATAATTGTAGCGATGGATTGTTCATTGATTATTATATTGTTGCCCTTGCATTGCAAACTCGATGTTATATTTATTGCATACACAACTGGGTCCACACCATTTCCGACATTCAAAACAACCCGCTTCGCATCCACACACTATTCGCACCTGCTTCGATCCCACTTAAAAATATGGTTCAAGATAGGGTATGACCACTATCTGTCCGAATCCGTTCCATTTTCACTCGTATTGAATTTTGACTTGATTTTTGGTGAATGGCTAGATGTCACTATACTCCACATTATCAAATCTTTTACAACCATTTACATTAAATTTAGAAGAAAAAGGTAAAAAGGGATAAACCCTCGAGGGATTAGAATCCATTCCCATCACAAGTAGTGTTTCTTTACTCAAACTTCTCAACATTAATATCCGCTGAACAATCTATCTATCTATTATATTATTAAGACAGCTTGAAACAAAGACACATGTTCGCTATGAAGTTTTAGGAATTACCACATTAATCACAGAAGAAAGAAAAATATTAGCCATCAGATCTCAACATATCTAAATTTTAATGGCTGAGATTTAATGTATAGTACTCCCTCCATCCCAGAATATAAGAATTTTTAGGATTGGACACATGTATTAAGAAAGTAGGTAAAATTTAATTGGAGAATGTTGTAATTGGTTGTGAAGTGAAGGTAGGTAAGAAAATTGGATGGTGAAGGGTTGTGATTGGTTGAGAAGAGAATGTTGGTGAAGAAATTGTTATATTTTAGGACAAACCTTATGGACTAAAAGTTGTTATATTTTGGGACGGAGGGAGTATAAGGCCCTGTTTATTTTCTAAAACAAAAATTTTAATGCTGCCACATCGAATGTTTGGGCACATGCATGGAGTTTTAAATGTAGGAAAAAACCAATTACACAGATTACGTGTAAATTGCGAGACGAATCTTTTAAACCTAATTGCACCATGATTTGACAATGTGGTGCTACAGTAAACATTTGCTAATAACGGATTAATTAGGCTTAATAAATTCGTCTCGCAGTTCCCTGACGAAATCTATAATTTGTTTTTGTTATTAGACTATGTTTAATACTTTAAATGTGTATCCATATATTCGATGTGACAACCAAACTCAAAAATTTTCTCCAACTAAACGAGTCCTAAACAAGGCCTAAAGCTGTGTTTAGATCCAGGGGTGTAAAGTTTTAGCGTGTCACATCGGATATACGGACACATATTTAAAGTATTAAACATAATCTAATAACAAAACAAATTACAGAATCCGCCTGTAAACCGCAGGACGAATTTATTAAACCTAATTAATCCATCATTAGCAAATATGTACTGTAGCACCACACATGGCGCATTTAGTTTTAAAAGATTCATCTCGCAATTTATACGCAATATGTGTAATTAGTTATTTTATATATATATATTTAATACTTTATATATGTGTCTAAATATTTGATTTACCAGAGTGTAAAATTTTACCAGGATCTAAACAGGGCCTAAATTTTAGAAGCTCGCACCCGGTTTCACATACCAAACCGGACAAACAATACAGTACTGCAAAGTCAGAAACAGGAAGGCACAAGACAACTTGTCAGACACACGGATTACAACAACAATTGGGCTGTGTTTAGTTCAGCGTAAAGTTTAGATTTTGGTTGAAATTAGAGATGGTGTGACTGAAAAGTTGTGTGTGTATGATAGGTTGATGTGATGGAAAAGGACTGAAGTTTAGATTCAAACTTTGGATCTAAACACAAGTGGCTGTGTTTAGTTCAGCGCAAAGTTTGGATTTTAGTTGAAATTGGAGATGATGTGATTGAAAAGTTATGTGTGTATAACAGGTTGATGCGATGGAAAAGGACTGAAGTTTGGATCCAAACTTTGGATCTAAACACAGCCACAAACTGCATAAACCTAACCCAACCCTTTTCGCCTAAACAAATACAAACTGCATAAACCTAACCCAACCCTTTTCGTATAAGCTTTCACCGATTCCTGATTGATATAATCACATCAGAGCTGGTTTAGTTCCCAACTTTTTCTTTAAACTTTTAACTTTTTTATGACATCAAAATTTTCCTACACACATAAACTTTCCAACTTTTTTCTTCAAACTTTCAATTTTAATCAAACTTCCAATTTTAGCGTGGAACTAAGGCTGTGTTTAGTTCCCACTAAAATTAGAAGTTTGGTTGACATTGGAACGATGTGACGAAAAAGTTGGAAGTTTATGTGTGTAGGAAAATTTTGATGTGATGGAGAAGTTAGAAGTTTGAAGAATTATTTTGGAACTAAACACGGTCTAAACACAGCCTCAATAGTTTTTACTAGCAATAGAAGCGCGCTACGCTGCGCCGCCCGAATCAATTGAAGACCAATATGTTTGAGGAATAATATGCATATACTATTCACCCATAGCATTGGTTTATTTTTCGTCTATATCCCATAAACTACCCTTATAAAAAAAATTGCACATAAAAAAATATAGCGTATAGGCTAAAGGAGAAAACCAAAAGGTATCGGAAGTTTGAATAAATAGAAAAAAGGGGCAAATTACATGTCAATTACAATGAGTTTACAGAGGTTTCAATGCTACCCCTTTTTTTCTCTATACGCTAGAATCACATAGGACTATTGGATGCTAAAAACATAAGACCTAAATGCCTACTGGTGGTCCATATTAAACATATGCAAAGCTAAAATGAACAGATAGAAAATGATGTTTTTTAAGTGCAACATGCAAGTGCCCTAGTCAACAACAATCCTCCGTTACGTGCGGTTAGTGACATCGGTAAACCTAAAAAAAAAGTATACTACCTCCGTCCCAAAATATATCGCAATTTTGAGCAGTGTACCTAAACATACCTTTCAAGATATAGGGCCAGAAGTTTTTACATTTTGGGACAAAGGTAGTAGAAAGTTTTAATAGTAATGTTAGTACAGCTAAAACAGTATAGTATCAACCACTTATATAGAGAGATAATATTTTCGCTTGGCATCACAATTCTAAACACATGCAACCAATTTTTCTACCAAAAGTTCTATCTTTTTTGGAGTGGAGTAGTACAAAGTGCTGCTACCATGTGGCCACGTGGCAAAGTTTATGAGCGAAAGCATGCATAATCACTTAACCAAAGTATGGATGCAATAACATAAGCCTTATAGTTCTACAATGCATATATACTTCTTCAGGTTAGGTTCCATTTTTTTCTTCCCTGTTCCTTTTAAGTAGCCGGCAAAATATACAACGCGGAAACAAAGAGCTTGTAAAAGCACAGTGGCAGCAGGCTACACTACAGTTTGACGAAACAGATCGACTGCACAACTTTTAGGATTTAAAAGTGTGCTTTCACAAATAATGAAAAAAACATGTGTAAAATAGACTGGTGAACTAAACAGTGAAATAATCTATCTGAGCACAGACATGTAAAAGCAAACCAACTGAAAGACAAAATATAAAAAAAAATGGACTCATGATATTGCTTTACCTTTGCATCGTAGCGGTTAGGATATGTCTAGCAAAGCATTCCCATTGAACAGTTGATGCACAAACTAAATTGAAATGTACCTTCAAAAGAAATTTACGTTCGTCTCAGATATTAACAGGAAATCAGCTTTCCGTGATGGATCCAATCCATCCATGTCTTTTTCGACCTAATAAAAAAAGAATATAGATATATGTGATGAAGCATGAATAAATGAAGGTCATTCTCGAGACTGCTAATGTTTTCATGACTCAAAAATGGAGCCATCCTTCTTTTAAAGAAAATGATTGAGGACATATCCTAACAGTGTATATAGTCATAATCAACTGATAACATTCTTTTGGCGCCCTTCATGTTTTGTAGAGATGGCATGAAAGATACACTTCAATGCTAGTTTAAAATTCCATCTCAAGTGAATCTCAGTGGAAACAATATACCTCGATGAGGTAACTAAAGTAGAAACTAAATATTTTAAATGGGTGTAACTCAATCATCAATGACATAATGGAGCTACTGAAATGGTGAGAATCATTTCCTCCATTAGCTACTTAAAAGAGGCTAACAGAGCATGAATACTCAATTCACATCATATCACACTGGAAGAGGCACTGGCAACACATGGATGAACAAATTCTTCGTACTCGGCAACACCAACAGAAAAAATCTCTTCATGCAAGCAGGAGAAAGCTTTCAAAACGAATTGGTGAGATCAAATAGTAGAGACACAAAGGCTATCAAAGTACAATGTATATATGGAAGAAATTTCATCAGAGCATATGAGAGCAGTATAATAACGCCGGTTGTTATGTTACCAATGTAACTCAGAAGTTGTACTGGATGGTCTTTACAAAAATTAAGCTCAATTATGTAGTTATGTTGTTATACAACAATTTGTGTATTATTCAGCAAATAAAATGCAAGATACATGATGACGATATACATAATTAACCTTAATCATAGAATCATTATCATAAGATTAAAGATCAAGCAAAATAGCAATATAGTCTATATGGCTCTGGGGAACTTGAACGGAGCTGGCAGTATTTTTCCCTTACATATGCAAGCAGTGTAAGTAACATTTTACACTTGATGGTGTAAATATCCATGTCTAAATATTTTTTTTGTATAAAAAGAATTAGTAAGAATAGCTAATCAGGTTGTACTGGTCGAAAAAGAATTAAAACAATAGCAGGAGCATCTGTAATATAGAAACCTATAAAGGGTGAAGGAGATGTAACAATGTACAATACCTTCAACAGCTTTGATAATAATAACTTCATGCAACACCCACTAAAAGTATGATCTAACATTGTTAATGTTATGATAGGATACTCTGCATAGAGATGAAGAGATCAATTAAAGAACACATCTCAACAACATATGGATTTAGAATATAACATGTGAATATAAATAACTCTGATGTGGTGACATACATATAGTTCTTATGTAGCAAAAAATAGGGAAGCAACCTAGGTAAGTTAAAAATGCGAGGCAACTGATAGAGAGGATTTTGACATTGAACTCATAAATCCCTTCCCTAAGAAATGTGCTATCACTTGCCATATACTTTTTGCTTGTCTGATGCACTCTACAGATATTTTTATGATCATATATAGACATAAAAAGCTAATGAATTAGCTTCAGTCACTTACTGATTGTACTTTGAGATACCGGTCGATCAATGCAGTAAACATTTACCCAATCAAGTTAATTAACATGTAAAGCAAGGCAGAATGGGTATCTACATCCAAGTGGTGTATGTGTATTTGCAGGAAAAGGTATTAATTAGCAAACAGACATACATATGTGATCCTTTCGTTTATGCTTCCAAAAATAAATGCAGGCTGCACATAAAAAAAAGTTTTGAATCAACGGAATATGGCCTTCTAAGAGCGAAATCTGTGGTTCCAAAAATAGATGCAGGCCTGCACATAAAAATGAGTTTTGAATCAACGAAATATGGCCTTCTAACAGTGAAATTTCAGAAGCATAATGCAGGTAAAGCATTCGTAACCTCATATCTTCAGACTTGATTGACCATGCACCACAGAAAAATCAAGTAGAGATTTCCACCAGTCATATAAGCCTGATATGAAGAAAGCATGAGATGCAGGACTGTAAAAGAACTGAGAAATCAATTTGAGGAGTAGTATCAGCAGGAGGAGATTTGGCTGCTGTCACCCATGTCGAGTTTCACCTGTTGGTTACCGCGTGCTTGTAGGCGCTCGATGCGGCACAGATCTTGCAGAACCAAGTTCTCGTGGGATGGAGAAAGAGACGAAATGGCGGCGACAGTGGACATCGAACTCGCAAGAAGGGGGCAGCAGCCGCCGCTAGCTCGCTGGGAAGACGACGACAGTAACCACTGGCTCCGCACGGCGGCAGCAACGGCTGGCTCAGCGAGCTTGAGAGGAAGGCAGCGGCTCCGGCTTCGCGAGCTCGAGGGGAAGGCGGCGGCTGGCCATAGGCTCCATGAGACCATGAGCAGACGGCGGAGGATTTCTGGGAGGGGAAAACGTGAGACAAAGGAAAAAGGAAAGCACGAATGACCAGACAACCATCGTCGCCGAGCCGCGGTTGTCTTCGTCACGGTCGTGCTCGAGCCTACACAGGGTGGTGGCGGCGGCCTGCTGACCCCGTCCGGGCGGCAACGGTGGCTCTCGTTCCTCTTTAGGACGCCGGATCCGCCGGTACCGGCGGTTCTCGTTCCTTTCTCTGGAGCTCCGGATCCGCCGGCGAGGAGAACGGGGTCACTGGATCCAGCGGCCCCGGCCTCCTCACTGGGAGATCCGGCGGCTCATTGGTAGGGAGCGGCAATGGTGGCACGGCGAGTAGGTTGAGGGAGTGGAGGAGTGACGCGGCAATGGCGGCACCGCGAGTAGGTTGAGGGAGTGGAGGAGGAGGGAGTTGCGGCGGCGACGACGCACGCGAGGGAAGGAGGACGGCGAGGCTGCGGCGCGATTGGAGGAGGTGGGCACATAGCAGGCCAAACGGGCGGCCCGGCCCAGCACGACACGGCACGCCGACGGCACGGCCCACTAGGGCACGGCCCGTTAGGCACGGCTCCTGTAGCGGGCCGTGCCGTGCCGGCCCACGTGCCAAGGCCACGGCCCAAGCACGGCCCAAGAAGGTACTGGGCCGTGCCGGGCCGGCACGGCTACTGTAGTGGCACGTGGGCTGGTAGCCGGCCCACTGGTACATGTGGCCCATAAAAATTGAAATTTGAGGGGAAAAAAAGAAAAAAGGCAGAAAAAACATAATATAAAGGAAAAAATGATAAATATAGGATAAATGTGAGGAAATTTTAGGAAATATATCATAAAATATATGGTACAAATAGGATAAAATGTGGAAAAAAATAAAAAATATGACAAATATATGGGAAAAATTAGAAAATCGTAGGAAAAATAAATGGGTCGGTGGGCCGTGCCATGCCTGGGCCGTGCCGTGCCGGCACGGTACAGTAAACGTGCCGTGCCGTGCCAGCCCACGGGCTGAGGCATCGGCCCAAACACGGCACGGGATAACGGGCCGTGCCGGCACGGCCCACAGGCTGGCGTGCCGTGCCGGGCCTGGGCCGGCTACAGTACTGCCGTGCTCGGGCCGGCCCGGCTTGGCACGGCCCATTTGGCCAGGTATAGGTGGGCAAGGCGGCGCGCGTGGGGAGGAGAGGACGGGCGGCTAGGGTTTGTACGGGCTGGCGAATCCAGACCGTCCGTTTCCAATCCAACGATCTGACGATGGTGGAAGGGTAGTCAGGCTGGGACGCGTGGACGGCCAGATCAACCTTAGCATGTGATCCGACGGGCCACGTTAACGGGGATGTACACGCTATTAGCGGAAAGAGCAAGGGTTTTTCTGAAAAAAAACGATGACGTGGCGCCCTAATCCTCAGCCAGTCCCACGGCTTTTAAGTAACAAATATTCATATCTTGACACCGTATTTCACATCTAAAGACTTCAAACCTACTGGGAAATGCTCGTCCCTCAGCGTTTTGCGCTGGCGTGGACGTTGCCGCGTCGCGACACGTCAGCGCGCGCTGGAGAGAGGCTGGATTTCGCGGCCTCCCGTGCGGCCGCGTCGCCTCTGTAAATTTTGCAAAAAAAGCCCTCTCTTTTATAGATATTTTGTTATACGTCCTTGCTGTACTTTTTTCGGTTTTAAAATATTACGTTTAGGCCCTTCCCATCCTATGAAATTTGATACGAAGGAGACAAAAAATGAGAAAAAGGACCGCGGCCTGAATCGTGGAAATTGAGGGACCTTTTCACAAGATTTCCTTTTTTACGCTCAATCTCCTTCTCCCAAAACCCTAGCAGCGGCAAAAAAAAAAAAGGAAAAAGAAAAAAACCCTCGGCCGCGACGGTTCCATCGCCCCTCTCATCTCTCTCGCTCTCTCCGGCGCGATGCGCCGCGCCGCCTGGATCTCGCCGCGCCATGGCCGCCGCCCGCTCTTCTCCTTTTGCGCCCGGCACAGCGACAATGACGGCCACGCGGATCACGTGAGTGAACTGGTGGCCGCCCTCAACTCTTCTCCCTCTCCATCCCCATTCTCTTCCTTTCCGGGTAGGCGGAGGCCTGTGACAACGATGGCCGCGCGGGCGAGCCGTCGAGGAGGCGGAGAATCACCAGATCTGGTAGGGCGGCGGCCCGATTCGGAGAGGAAGCAGCCCGATCTGTGACATTGGCTTCCATTTCCGGCCAGCGGTGGTCTCCAGGACGGCGGATGCCGCTGGATCTGATGGATGGTGGGCTCCTGGTTGGCTCCAATGCTCCATCATACCTCCCTATTTGCTTTCTTCAAAGGAGGTGAGGAGAGTTAAGTTTTCTTTGCAGTTTAATTTCGCATGTTATATCTTGCAAAGTTGGTGGTTTTGGTGTCATACTGTGATTTGGACTAATAAAGATATGCGTGTTATTTTCTTTGCGAGTTTAAATCGGTGTATGTGAATGTGAGCGTATGAATGAAGCTTGCCGTATCATGAATTAAATTAATTTGTTATTCTGCTTGTACGTAATTTGTGATTTGGCAGTCTGAGGTAGATGGTGGACCACTGATCTCCTCTCGTGCCCCTGTGTTCGTGCACACCACCTCCGCACCGACTTACCATGCATGCCGGCGTATGCGGAGGAGCCTAGGTGCCGGCTACGGTGAGCTTACACGAAGGGCATTGGTGGGTTCCCAGAGGGTGGTGGCATCTCCATCCCCACATGTCGCCGCCTTGCTGCCTGGCCCCGGTTGTCGGTCACAGCCTCCATGTCATCAGCCACTGTGACCAGGTTGCAACTCCACCACTCTTTCACCTAACGTGACCCACTAAGAAGCTCAGTTTGATGGCGATGAGGTTGCTTTGGTGTTGTAGCTGTCAATCTGGCTGGGCATTTCTTTCATGGGTTCATCTAAGATTCATCGTAGTGTGTGCTGATGACTTTAAATTACTAATGAGTTACTGCACAATATTATTTGTTTTCAAGTATAATAATTGATATATCTTTGTAGTTGAAGTACAAGTACGCTGATTTGTTCCAACAAAATATATCAATGTATAATACTTTTATGGATGATTCGATGATGCTTCATCCAAATGTAGTCATGCATATTATGTCAAAATAGACTGGCTTTGCACTTTTAGTTCGTTCATTACGAATAGCATCTTTTTTAATTATCATGTCCCTGAAGGTAGCGGATTCTATTAATCTATTAAACTAATTTATAATGAGCACGTTTGTAACTTGACATTAGCTGAATTTTTACATGCAGAACCTGAGGCTAAGCTTATGCACTAGCTGGTATGGTACTACTGCTACTGCGACCCTAAAAAAGCTAAACCATCTAGATCAGAACTCTATATTATTGTTAAAACCTAATGATCTGCATTACAGTGCTTTACTCTATTTTTTGGATGTGATTATTAAAGCTCGCTATGTGTCTGTTCTTTTTTGCAATGTATAAAATCAATTTATCTCAAAATTTGTTGCTGCTTTGATTCTATTTCAAGTTGCCTAATCTGCCCAACGTCAATCAGCTGTCACCTTACAATAGATTTCATTATTGCTTTGCAAATAATATTAGAAGGGCCAAAGAAAATGCGATGAATTTTTGCAAGATCAAATTTTGGCATTGTTGTCTGCTATATTAGTTGCTGATGAAAGAATTGTTATTTAATTTCACTTCTCTAATTCTTATAGGCTTTAGCTGATGTAGTGGTTTCAGTAGCAACATGATAGGCTTATGACTCCCTGAATCAGAACAAAGGATGCCAACATTGGTGTCCTCTTCTAGGAGGGGCAATGGCACCGCTGGCAACCAGCAACATACGTGATTGGTGCATTTTGTTTGGCTGACCATTGTATGTTGCCTCCTTAATTTGAGTTCACCATTTCATTATATATGTCGGAAGCGAAAATTTAGTTGATTGTTTATTAAACTATGTGCCTTGCATATATTAGTTTTATGATTTAGTTATTTGTGAACAAGAAATCTGTTGCAAGTTATAGCTAAAGATTGGTAGAGTCATAAAAGATTTAATTATCATGATATCATAGGCATTAGCTCTGAACATATTAAATATCATGATATCCACATCCCCACGATGTGCAACCCAATTTAACTCGATATAAAAAGATGATGTTTCATTGTTTTCTAATTTGCATTCAAGTAATGCCTATGATGTTTTGCAAATGTAACTGACTTATCCTTCACATGCTTCTCATGTTGTGCATTGGATGGCATGAAGTTGATATTGCAACTCACTTTGAATCTTCTACCTAATGCTTCTAATATTTATACCCATTTTTACTTAGCATGCGATGATTAGTTAGCGCTTAGACTAGCATATAAAAAGATTGACTTTTGATTGGGTCCTGATTCCTGAAGTTGGAGTTTTCTTTGAAATGACTAATGATATTATTTGCTCTTGCCATATAAGTGACTTTTCAGGACTCTTGATATATAATTATTTGTTTGGGACAATAAAGCTTCGGTTTAGGATGATGAGCTCTGCCCTGCAGGTTGAAATTCATTCTACCAAGTTGTGTATTTGACTAGCTTGCACTTTTATCCTCTTCCTTTAAACAGACTGATAATATCTTTTCAAAAAAATATTGTGCTTGCAATGATTTAAGTATTAAAATTGCATGCCTATAATATATGTAAAATATATACAACCAGAAAACAGGAGTTTAACGTGACATATTGGCATTTACAATCCTACAATCCTGTCCATTCCAACTTCCTTTGCTGAATAAATATGTTGCTGGGTGCACAATTTGGTTCACTTTGTGATTATGAGAATTACTAAGAGAACAATTTAGATTGTTTACCTGTTTGTTGTTTTTAGTATGGATAAACCATAACTTTGGTTTTGGATGGTACCTTATTTTGTTTCCGTATCTTTGAGATGTTTAATTAATTTTAGCACATTGGTCTAAATTTGGATACTGAACCTGCTGGTGGTCCTTCTGTTAATTCATTCACAGATTACTTGTTATTGACCACTGCTACATTGAACCTTACAATCTAAACATATGCCACAAAAATAACTCCATTAACTTATTTTATGCACATTCAGGAAAAAAAATATTAGGAGGGGAGGATCCTTATGGTTGTAATATTGTTGAGTAGTTCAATGCCATAAGATTGTTGCCTCCCATTATTATGACACTGAAATTGTTTTTTTTTTCTTGCAGCACTTCTCAAGCAGCTATGTAAAGTGGAAGCGATTAGACGTAGCAAATTATACGCCTCTTCCATTTGCACATCAACTAAAAGGCCCTTGCAGTGAATTCAAAGGGAAAAGGGGGCAATTGCTGCAAAGGCATCCAAACCACATTAGAATTTAACCATTTGTGATGTGTTCGTATGTATTCATCTAGCGGAACTGTTTCTATTCTATCACTGTAACACTACTATGTATTGTCTACCCTTACACCATACATGTGCCAAATTTCGCTATATATAACTGTCTACGATTTGCATGTATGTCATTATTAGCTTTAAGCCTATTTGACAACTATCAATACATAAATGCTCATGTCACTCTACTTCATTTCATGCGTTACACTAACCCTTACTTCACCTAGGGTGTGCTTGGATAATGGAAAATGAGGGGTGCGATTGGGATTGGGAAATGAATGAAGGGTTAAGATTAAATGGATGAGGGAGAATAAATGGTTAGGATTTAAAGATGGGTGGGAAATCATTTCGCTTAGACATTTGCCAAACACTGCCCTAAATCTCACAAATCTTGTCGTTATACTTATACATGTCCTTCAAAAACATTGTTTCAGCTGATAACCTGAACTAACAGATATAATCACTGATTTCCCTCTACTGGCCACCGGTGCAGCGCGCAAAGCGCGCGTTCCACTCTAGTCTGAAGTATTAAATTTGACTCCCATCTGCTCGCACGATGGAATTTTTGAATGGTACATATACATAGATCGGTTGATCGACATGTCATCCCAAGCGGGAGGCATGCAGTTCGTTTTCACCTGTTTCTGTTTCAGTACAAAGTAAATGTGCTCTTAGTGAGATAGGATTATGTTTATTTTGCTGTGTGCAAAAGCCTATATTATTAGTTAGGGATGACTAGGGATCGGTCGCCCGATCCAAATCTTCAAAAATCGGACACTGACGTCAGCACCAGATTTACGTGCAAAATAAATTTAAACTGATTTTTCTCTTAAATTATTTATCCAAATCATGATCCGATTGCATCATTAAATTCGTTGCAATTAAATCTTCAAAACAAGACCACACATGGATATATTTGGACGAAAATTTTTTTTAGCTTATTATTGATTTTTTTAAATGTTGCACGACGTTCCACCAGGTATATCGGATTTGTTTCACTAAGTAGATCGAAAATGTTTCACTCGTTTAAATCGGGTGTTGTTTCACCTTATATAAAAACAATGTTTCAGCAAATAGCGAAAGAATGTTTCAGTTCACTGCAACATTTGATCCATACATAGTGAAACATTGCGAGTATATTAAATGAAACATTTTTCGATGGAACAAAAAATAAAACGAATTCCCTTAATAGAGGGTTTCCAAAATATGTGGGTTTTTTTGTTGCAATGGAGTATCTCAAATCACTGCAACATTAGATCTATAAATAGTGAAACATTGCGAGTACACTAGGTGAAACATTTTTGGTGGAACAAAAAATAAAACGAATTCCGTTAATAGGGGGTTTCCAAAATACGTGAGTTTTTTTTTGTTGTAACGGCGCATTCCATAATATCAAAATCCACTGCAACATTTGATCCGTACATAGTGAAACATCATGAGTAAACTAGCTGAAACATTGTAAAACTACTTGTTGAAACATCAAAAGAGACCATATACAACATTAAAAAAATCAATAAAAAAACTAAAATATTTTTTTGTCAAAATATAATCATGTGTGGTCTTGTTGTAAAGATTTAATTGTAACGAATTTAGTGATGCAATCAGATCGTAGATTAGATAAATAGTTTATGTGAAAAAATCTTTTAAAGAAATGAGAGATGAAAGCATGTAGGGAAAGATTCTTTGCATGCAAATGGCAGACCATGCAGCGTCTGATTTTTCTCCCCTCCCATCGGACGCCCGACAACTAGCATTCTCCTTATTAGTTATGTATTAAAAATATGTTTTATCTAATTTTGGATTGCTATATTTTGAAGGAAAGGAAATAAAGACGGAATCTTTTGTCGATGGTCCTGCATCATGCATTTGTAAATCATAAAATATGCTAAACATAATATGGCGCAGAGTGTAATTTGTGAAACTTCGGCAAATAACTCTGGATTTTGACAGAGATGTAAATACTGTGAAGTTTGAGCGTTGATATGTAAGGCCGAGTTTAGTTCCAAAGTTTTCTTCAAACTACTTTTTCATCACATCAAAAACTGTGTTTAGTTCACACCAAAATAATTCTTCAAACTTCTAACTTTTCCATCACATCAAAATTTTCCTAAACACACAATCTTCCAACTTTTCCATCACATCGTTCTAATTTCAACCAAACTTCCAATTTTGGTGTGAACTAAACACAGCTTCGGCCTGAAATTAGAACGATGTGACAGAAAAGTTGAAAGTTTGTGTATGTAGAAAAGTTTTGATGTGATGAAAAAGTTGGAAGTTTGAAGAATTATTTTGGAACTAAACACGGCAAAAAACTTTCCTACACACACAAACTTCAAAATTTTCATCACATCGTTCCAATTTCAACCAAACTTCTAATTTTGACGTGAACTAAACACACCCTAATTCTCAATTTCATGGGATACTCGATAATTGTAGTGTAAAGCATACCCTGAAAGATGTGATACATTATAGCACAACAAATCTGGACAGAGATATATCCAAATTCATAGCACATACTCCCTCTGTTTCAAAAAAAAAAAGGCAACATAGTATTGGAGGTGGCATTTCCTAGATTCATTGTACTAGGAAATGTTACTTATAATACTAGGTTGACTTTTTCTGTCCAAATTCGTTGTATTAGAAAATATCACCTCTAATTCTAGGGGTGTGTTTATTTCACGTCAAAATTGAAAGTTTGGTTGAAATTGGAACGATGCGACGGAAAAGTTCGAAATTTAACACCATATGTGTACAAAAATTTTGATGTGATAGAAAAATTAAAAGTTCGAAGAAAAAGTTTGTAACTAAACTTGGCCTAGGTTGTTTTTTTTGGATGGCGTAGGTTGTTTTTTTTTTTTTTATGGAGGGAGTACGTCACATTAAAGTGCCCAACAGCTGCTCAAATGTCCCCGTCGTCTATTCTGAACAGAACTTGTGGAATGGGTGGATGGGCATAAAGACAATGATTTTGACCAAACGCAGAGGGGAAAATATCGGACTTTGGAAGCTGGAAATGATCCCCAACTCTGACCGCTCGGAGAGCCCGCTCATCCTAACCTGATCTGATGCCTTCAGCTTCTAGGTTCAGTAATCCCTCTCTTCTTCGCTTCAGTGATTTATCTAATGCCTTCAACTGCTATTCAGTAATCCCTCTCTAGCTTTGTTTGCTTCAGTGATTTCAATTTTATTATTTGCTTCTGTTCAGCAGTACGTATGCCTTGCAAATCTGTAACATATACGCACTTGATTTGTCTTGAGAGTAATATCTATGGAGGGCGCCATGGTCAGCCTCCCCGGGAGGCTGGAGGAGCTAGTGCGTCGTCACGGCAGCAAGCTGCCCAAGGGTGCAGAGGAGGAGATATCGCTCATCAAGCAAGACCTCGAGAAAATAATATCCGTTCTCCATGGTCACAGCGAGCCAAAACTGGAGGGGCAGGCCATGGTGGTGAGGTGCTGGATGAAGGAGGTGCGCGAGCTCTCCTACGACATCGAGGACTGCATCGACCACTACGAGCACGCCTCAGCTTGGTCCAGTATTCATCGTAGTAAGATCACTCGGCGGCGATGGAGTTGGACGAGGGGCAAAAGGACCCCTCGGCTCCCTGAGAGGCTGAAGCAGCGGCTATGGATGGCGAACAAGATCAGAGAATTCAGCACTCGCTCGCAGGAGGCGCTTCAACGCCACGCCATGTACAACAACCTCAGTGGCATCGCCAGTACTGCTGCTTCTTCTCCATGTGATGCATCTTCTAGCTCATCTTGGCATCCTGGACAGGATGGGAAGGAGAATGGTAAGGTCGGTATCGACTCCTCTGTGCCCATGCTCAAAGGTTGGCTGACTGATGGAGAGAAGCTCAAGGTGGTGTCCATTGTGGGAGTCGGAGGAGTCGGCAAGACGACGCTTGCCAACGAGCTGTACCGCAAGCTTCAATGGCAGTTCGAGTGCCGGGCATTTGTGCGCACATCGCAGAAGACTGATATGAGGAGGATTCTCATCAGCATGCTCTCGCAGGTTCGCCCGCAGCAGCCACCTGATAATTGGAAGGTGAATGTAAGGTGTACATACACGCCTGGTCGCTCTGCCCGGGGGCGACGCGGGCGGCGGAACAAGCCGCGCCACCCCGTCCCTCTCCTCCCCTCAACCACCTCGCCGCCGCCTGAGCCGCCTGAGCTGAGGCGTGCTCGTAGTGGTCGATGCAGTCCTCGATGTCGTAGGAGAGCTCGCGCACCTCCTTCATCCAGCACCTCACCACCATGGCCTGAGCCGGCTTTGCCGGCTGCTGCAAGGACGGCGGCGGCGGGGCGCTCTCTCCCTCACTCGTGGTCTTCACGGTTGGAGCGCCAGCAAGATGGAGCGGAGGGCATCGCGCCAGCATCGTGGGAGGCCGCCGCCGGCGTCCAGATCCGGCGCCGGGAGGCACGGATCCGGGCGCCCCATGGCCGGATCTGCTGCTCTGGGCGGCAAGTTGGGTCTCCGGGCGGCGTCGTCGGTGTGGCTGGCGGCGGGGCCGAGCACGAGACGCCCGGTGGGCGGCGTCGTCGGCGTGGTTGGCGGCGGGCCGGAGGAGGCGTCGGCGTGGACGAGGTTTTGGCGGCGGCATGCAGGCTGCTGGCGACCCCAGCCGGCGGAGGCAGAGGTAGAGGACGCCGGTGCCGTGGGGGTTTGGGAGACGAGGTGGCTAGATCCACCTCCCCTGCCCAGACTCAGCGTCACAGCGGCGCTTGTTGCAGCGGTGGTGAGGCGGCAGGGTGCGGCTACGTGGAGGAAAGGGCGACTCCCGTGTGGCGACGGCGGCGGTGTCTGTGGCGTCTGGCGGTGGCTGTGGCTGTGGCGGCGGCCGCCGCGGCTGCTGTGGCCGCGATGACAACGACAGCAGCGGCTGCTGTGGCACGGTGGAAGGAGGCACGGTGGTGGTGCGTTTCGGTAGCAGCGGCTGCGGTCGCGGTGATCGTGGTCACCGGAGACATGACGGCCTCGACGGCTAGCCGAGGGCGTGGCAGACGGCTGCATCTGGCTGGCGCGGCATCGTTTGGAGGAGGGGTCGGAGACTAGGGCTGTCAACGAGACGAGCTCGAGCGAGCTCGTCTGCCCAAGCTCGAGCTCGACACAAGCTCGAGCCAAGCCTATTGCACCTTCGAGCTTTTAGGCAAGTTCGGCTCGAGCTCGAGCTCGGTGCCGAGCTCGGCCATAAGTAGTATAATATATATTTTAATAATAATCTCTTGATAAGTATAATTATTTTCTAGTAATCACACTAATAAAAGAGTAGAAAATGATTAAAATAAATATATTGTGCTAACACATGCTAATTTATTGTGTAAATAGATACAATTATATATTTATCTATTAGTTTATTATATTAATAAGGTGAACATGCAATATAAACTATACACAGCCAAGCTCGGTCAGGCTCGGTAGAAGCTCGAGCTCGGCTCGGTAAAGCTCGAGCTCGGCTCGGTAAAGCTCACGAGCTTTTGCTCAGGCTTGAGTTCGGCTCGTTTGGAGCTCGAGCCGAGCTCGAATCGAGCCTAGGATGAGCCAAGCTCGAGCTGCTCGCGAGCCTCGAGCTTTTTTGACAGCACTATCGGAGACCGGCTTGGCGCAGAGTGGCGCAGCCGATGGCAGCGGAGGCTAGTTCGGCGCGAGAGGCGCGGGCGGCGAAGATGGAGGCCGGCTTGGCGCGAGAGGCGCGGCCGATGGAGGGAGGCCGGATTGGCGTGAGAGGCGCGTCCGGTGGAGGAGGGTGGCTTGGCGCGAGAGGCGTGGCCAGCAGTGGAGGAGGCGACCTCGGTGTGAGGAGGAGCTGTCGGTAGGTGTGGCGTGGTCTTCAGCGCACGAAGGCTGGCCGGTGGGGGACGCCGGTGCAGGGGTCCCACATGTCGGCAGAGCTGGAGTGGTGGTGGAGCATCGGGGCGTCAGCTGTGGATTCGCAGGTGGTGAGCGGCGGGTGAAAACCTAGCCTGGCCTTGGCCGGGCCGACAACGATCCCGAGGGCGTTGTCGTGCTGTCTCACCCCTCAAGGGTGGTTGCCGGGCGAAAGCCCAGTCTTGGCTCCTTTGAGCCCCGACGGACGGCAGCGGCGGTTTTCTCGTCGCTTCTCTTATTGAAGATATCGTTTTGGTATCCCCTAGGGGGCGATCTCATCTGTGTTTCTTTGTTGGTCTAGCGGCAGTCGGTCACGCTTAGCGGCGGTCGGTTCGATGCTAGCCTTCTCCCGGGTTGTGCGTTGGCGCTGTCGGTGTGTGGGTGGTGGTATTTTTTTCTTTTTCCTGGTTACGACCCTCCAAGGTTGTAATCTTGTAATTTTTTTCTGCTCTATCGATAGAACTTCGCACCGTCTCGTGTGAGGTTCAAAAAAAATAATTGGAAGGTGACATAGTTTCCAGTATCAAGACACATCTGCAAGATAAGAGGTGCGTACAATTAGTAACAGAACCAGAGAAGGTGAATAGCCTAGTATCCACTTTCCAGTAGGGACTATATAAAAAACTGCATTAAGTTTATTTTTGGAAAAATTTTCAAATCTCGAGTTGATGCTCCCTCAATCCCTAAATATAAGGAATTTTGGTTGGATGTGACACATACAACGAATTTGGACGGCATCATGTCCAGATTTGTTGTACTAGAATATATCACATCGAACCAAAATTCCTTATATTTAGGGACGGATGGAGTAGTTTTTAAATCTCGAGTTGAAAGAATCTGAGTTAAAAGTTTTTAAATTTAAAAAGTTCAAATATCAAGTTGAAAATTTAAAAAAAATTGAGTTTAGAGTTTTAAATTTTGAGTTGAAAGTTTTAAATTTTATGTATTGCTTTTAATTTTTCAATATAACGTTTTAAATTTTACATGAAAGTTTCTTTCACGTATAGATATTTTTAAAATATGTTAGTTATAAAGAAAACCAAAGGAAAATCTTACCTTAATTATTGTCATTAAATCTAATACAGTTAGTTACGCTAACTAATCTATACTAATATAATATAAAAAGTACGAGTTGCTAAGTGCAATTGACACAGCAGTTGCAATTAGCGCTTCTCAGAAGAAACCGTCGCCAGGAAAAAAAAAATCGAAAAAAAAGGTCGCCAGACCGCCCGCGCCTCCTCCGCCTCCGCCTTCTGCCGCCGCGCCTCCTCTTCCTCCTTCCGGCGCCCCGCCGCCGCGTCTCCTCCCCCGCCTTCCGGCGCCCCGCCTCCTCTTCCTCCTTCCGGCGCCCCGCCGCGCGCCTTCCGCCGCCCCGCCTCCTCTTCCTCTTTCCGGCGCCCCGCCGCGCCTCCTCCCCCGCCTTCCGCCGCCCCGCCTCCTCTTCCTCCTTCCGGCGCCCCGCCGCGCGCCTTCCGCCGCCCCGCCTCCTCTTCCTCTTTCCGGCGCCCCGCCGCGCCTCCTCCCCCGCCTTCCGCCGCCCCGCCTCCTCTTCCTCCTTCCGGCGCCCCGCCGCGCGCCTTCCGCCGCCCCGCCTCCTCCTCCTCCTCCTTCCGGCGACGGGCATGGAGCGCTTCTGCGGTTCTGCCGTCTAGGCTGAGGGGCCGGAGACGTCGCCGGCGGAGGCTGTGCAGGTACGAGACTATTCCTTTTCCATCTGAGAATGTACTTCACAATGTATTATGTATAACAGATTGAATGTATTATCATAATGTATTATGCACAACCGATTGAATGATGTTGTCTCCATATAGTGCAAACTGAAATTATCTTCTGGATCAGTACAGGAATACTCCTTGATTTCCATGTATATACAGCTAGACATGATTTTTTTTCTTTTTCGGATTGCAAGGTCATGGGCGTAGTCAAGTTATCTGAATCAAATGTTAGGTTTTGGCAATGAGCAGTGTACAAATTAGCACCCACTCTGGTTCATCAGTTCATATTTTAACCTTTCTAATTCCCTTCTTTGATCGCATATATGCACATAATATTTTCACTGCTAATTTCTGTTATTTACATTATCATGTCTTGCTGTACACCTTCTATTAATTGCCTTTTTATACTCACATTGTCATTCAAATGATATATTGTGTTTGATTTATGTATGTCAACATGATTCCTCAGTGACATGCGCCTAGGCCATTAACACCCGTGACCACCGTTGCAAGGCTGGGCGCCCTAATGAGGCCGGCGCCATCAACACATGGAAAGTCTGCCCATCCTCAACAAAATGAAACCCCTGACAAGGAGAATGATGCTTCCGCAGTCACACAGCCCAGTCCACGAACCAACATAGGTACCATGTTTGTTTCCACAAATTTCTCGATATATACTCTATTAGCCATCATGTTTGTTTACAACAAAACAAGCTATGCTTGCTTTCCAGCTGCATATTTTTTTAGATTCACAAAATTTAGGCACCATGTTTGTTTACATTCAAACATTTATTAATTATTCTTGACGCCATCGTCGATGTTGTCTCTGCTGCCTCACTCCTCAGCCCATCTCACTCGCCGCAGCTCCACTCTTCTTTCATCTCCTGTCACGCTGCTGTACTTGGCCAATTGGCCTATACCCTAGGTAATCAGACTCTATCTTGCAGCTTCGATTCATCATTCAATTATACAATTTGATGGTCTTTCTTTGTTGACTGCCAAACAATTCCCCTTCAGCTCACTGCCATCCTCCTCCCCCTCTGCTGTGTGGTTTGTGTAATATAGTACCAAATGTATTGCTGGAGAGAGCTTGATGTTTTGACTACCTGTTCTATCCATTTACAATGATTGATGGCACATGTATTTTAGTTATTGCCTCTACACATGAATGGCAATTATAGTAGGGGTATTCCGTGAATTAATACAGTAGGTGTATTCTGTGAATTAAGGCATGTTAGTCTCTATACTCTAGCATGTTTTCAGATGTCTATAAAGCAGTTTCTACTTTCTGCATTCAGCAATGCTGCAGTCTTTATTTCCCTATGATCAAGATGGATCAAAATTGGAATGGGATAATACAGCAAGTTTTGGAATCATGATATATCTGTCTAGACTTGTTGCTACATGTATTATATTTACTCAATGCTGCCACTAGCCCACCATGATTTTTTAAGAATCTTTTGTCGGTAGGCAAGAGTAACCTGTAAACATATGTGATAGTGACATGTTGCTTATGCTATGTTGAAAACGGAAGCTCTTGTAAATATGTTCTAACATAGTTAATTTATGTGGATGATGTAGTGCAGGGATGCAAGGACTTTTCAGTCGTACCGCCTCTCCATTCCAAGATATTATAGTTGGGAAGTATGAGAGTGCTTTGCTCTGCTTAGGTAACTTGCACTGTTATTTTGGACATCCGAAGAAAGCCTTATAGGTAATGTATGGTAGTTGGTTTTCTTTAATTTATTCTGCCTGTATATTACTAGGACCACCTGTTTCAGTATTAAATATTGCTTATTGTCCTCTTGGATTTCTTTCTTCCAGGCATTCACAGAAGCAGTGCGTGTTTCCCAAATGGTCAGTCACAAGACTTGGTTCTTTCTCAAACTTGATTTTGTTTTACAATAAAACGAGTTGATTAATTATTTTAGCAAGGCTTCAGTTAGTGTCTATTCAGCAGGGTGCTTTACCCTTAATTCTTTTTATCTTTCACCATGAGTTGAATGAACACATTGAATTTCTTTCATGGTCAATGCTTAGTTTTAAGTGGTTCTACAATTCGCTGCAAATTTTGCACACATGCTTGCGCACGCGTATCTGGTAGAATCATTGCAGTATCTGGTAGAATCATTGCAGAGCAAGGACATGGTTGGTCTGAATAATCTGTAAAGCTTTCAGGCATAAGCTTTTGAGAAAATGAGAGAGCATGTCTATAGCCCTTGTAATTACATGTCAATGATCCTGTAAATTATGATTGGTCACCACTACTGTTGTATGTGGTACTCTTATTTTTCAGAGAACCCTTCTGATAGCTCAAGAAAAACTGATCATGCAATGACTTTTATGTGTCAGCAAGTTTTGCATGCAAATAAGTATGCTGTGAGGAACAAGCATAATTAATTGTTCAGCATCATTTTCATTTACACTATAAAGTCGTTTCATTCTCAGCAGGAATTTCCTTTTATATTTATCACCATTGTAAAAACTCTGAAGATGTCACCCAGCAGTTGTCTTATATCTGCTTGCATTTGTGTCTGCAGGGTTGCAAAGGTCGAGGATATCTCATTCGATTTGCTGGCATTAGAATTCAGAATAGTTGTCTGATCACCTTCCAGTTGTCTTGCTTTCATCCTATTTCATAATCTATTTACAAGAACAAGATGAGCAAGCAGCTAATCATTTTGTTAAAATGGAGATGCAGAGATTATTTATTGTTTGCATGGATATGAATTGAATGAGGGTAATATTAATATCTTATTGATGTTCCCAAAAATGTAGTGCACAATTGTCTTACAAATGAATACATTTTTTGATATGAGGCGGTATGCATGGTGTGGAGGCGTAGGCCAACATGTACAATTGTCTGCCCACTATATTTCGTTATAGTGTTTTGCCTTGATAAGAAATTTTGACCTTGCTGACCATTTATTGCTTTTTACAGGCATCTGATTTCTCGGCGATGCATTTATTAACGTGATTGCAGATACTGCATGTGTTGCAGCTGATGTATGAGTATACTTTCCTGAAGAAGAGGTAGCTGATTTGTGTAGTTCACACAACATAAGCACCAGTTGTCTAATTCCTTGGATAAAACCATATCAACTACATGAAGATCTCGTCAGTTTTTGTTCTTGTATGTATGTTTTCCCCTCTTTCATCTATAAATATATTTATGTTTTTTAAAATTGAGCTGGAGTAAGATGGTCAATTGCTCCCAGTTCCCATGCATTCCGCTCATTTGTTCCAAGTTTAGAGGTGCTTCATCACTTCCAGATCAGCAACCTTCTTTCATATATAGATTATTTCTTTTAAATCTATTCCATTCCATTCAGTACTGGGCATATGCATTACATTAGGCACACACAGGAGACACATGCCATATATTAAGTCATGGAGTTCTGCCTTCAGATTTGGCAAGAAAAAGATATTCAGTGTGGCTTCAAGTAATCTTATGCAAGCAGGCTATAATGTTGTTATTAATTTCACTTGGAAAGAGTACTCGAGAAGATCAGGATGGTCCTCTATCTGTCCACTGAAATTCACAGTGCATGTCATGTTCAGTTTTGAGCTATTCGATGAAAGGTCTATTTTTGGAAGCCTTTTTGTTTGTTTTTTTTTTGTCTGTTTTCTGGAAAGAATACTGCATATGGCTACTTCAGAGAGTGCAGGCTTTGGCAGTTTTCTTTAGGATGGGACCTGCCATAGCAATAGCCTTGATCTCCTCTCTTCAAATGGATGGTGGATGAGGTCTGTTTAATTTGCTTGTCTTAGATTGCGGGCTTACTTATGTTCCTTTTGTCATACAGTAAGCATGTAAGTTCTGGTGAAATTTTTTATCTCTAGCTGCATCATACATTTCGATCTTTCCAAATCTATAGATTCTGATTTTATCAAAAGGTGCTTGTGCTCCAGTGAAACCACTGGCCATTTTGCTGGTATAGTGATATTAGGGCCATACATGAATTAGGGTTTTGTTTTTTTGATAAACTTTGGTGATGAACTTCAGATATCTTCCTGTTACTATATTGAAGCTGCAATCATTTCTAAATTTTTGGATCTCAATTCTTTCTCTGACGGTAGCAGTTTGGACTGTATACATGTCATTTTGCTGGTTTCTTTTGCTTTAAGGGAATCAGGGCAGGACGGAAGAAACACTATGACCATGTCCCCCATGTACGCATCAAGCTCCCAAGTGATAATCTGAATGCCTGCTCAGATCCTAGGCGCCGGCGGAATCAACCTTGACCCATCAATGATGGTCATCCCCCATTGACGATCACATGGTCCATAGAGACCATGGTGTCTTGGACACCACCATAATTTTTGACGGTTTAGACTTTGTCTCCACTTTTTCCACTTTTTTTTTTATCTCCGCATTTGCTTATACTTTATAGTTCGGTATTGGATGTTCATACTCTACATGAATTGGTCATGTACTTGAAATTTTGCACATTTGGTACTGAATCTGCACTCGAAGTGGGTTTCTTGATTTGGTTAGGTACATTGTATAAGCTAGATTTGCATTTTGTACGATTGATTAAAGAATATGGTTTGTCTATTTGCGTAGCTTCAAATGAATGATGTTTAATGCTATCCTGTTTGTAAATTTACAGAGCAATATATTTGATTGAATTTATTTTAGCCTTTTCGTGCGTTGCACGTGCATGGTTACTAGTCCTAGAAAAAGAGGTGTGAACTAGCCGGTGCCACCGTGTTGCGGGCTTGTGGCTGCTGTTCTTGGCCCTCGTCATGCTCTAAACTGATTGCCAGTTTGTTTGTTAGAGTGCACAGTTCGGTCCAACTACCATAGGTCACCCAGGTCACATTGAGCCTGCTCCACCACAAGCCTAACCGGAGCCACAACTTTAGATCCTAAGCCTACACAGCCCAAAAGACTAGTTTGATGGATGAGAGTTGCCCCCACCTTTTAAGTTGTGCTCCCCCACCGTTAATTACCGATGTGTGAGTAAACTCAATAATCTCCCCTGTCACATCAACCCATGTGATTCGGAGACTTGTTACCTGGCCTCCCCCACCATGTGACCTATGGAAATTGTTTCGGGCTTCAAACCTGAGCTCTGATATCACTTGTTAAAGTGCACAGCCCGACCCACCTTCTGTGAGTCACCTAGGTCACATTGGTCACTTGGAGGAAGGGGCACGTGGCCACAAGGTGTTGCAGATGAAGGGGGCGGGGTGGCGATGTGGAAGAAAGGGGCGACGCGGAGCGGGCAGCGCATGGTGGAGGAAGGGATCGCAGTCGCGGCCGCCGATATGGGATCGAGTACGTTAGTTTTCAAGGGATATGGCCTTTACTTTTTGGACGACATTGCCTCTCCCTGATGATAATTAATCTGATAACTTTTAATTTGCTTTAATATCCATATATTTCTTCCTTCTTGTTGCCAATCTTTGAACTCAATATCTCTCGAGCAAATTATTTTTTATCTTCAATGCACTAACCAACTCAACCTCATATCATTACTTGTACGTTTATACCTTGTGTTACTTTTATTTATTCCCTTAGTATGTATTACTATTCTTAAAAGTGTTTCTACAAAGTTCAAAATGTCTTCAGAAAATGCCTTTACATAACAGGCATATTTTTAAGTATCAAAAGAGTGCCTCTACAAGATAAAAAGTAACAAAATGTGCTAAAAATGGCTCCAAAGTGTCTCTAGAGTAAAAGTTATCTAGGCAATTTTAAGTGTCTCTACGCTATAAAACTCGTGATTTTAGAGACAATTAGTAAAACACCTCTACAAAAGTGCCTCTACATAATATTTTTGGTGAAGTTGTTTATGTTAATATTAGCAATATATTGTTATAAATTTTTGGAGGAAATTGTTTGGCAGGTACTTGATCATAATTGAGGATTTATGGGCCACATCCACATGGGATATTATTAAGCACGCTTTACCAGACGCTAATAGTTGCAGCAGAATACTTACCACGACAGAATTTGAGGATCTAGCTCTGCAATCTTGTGGTTATGACTCAGAGTATATTTTCAAGATGAAACCTCTTGGTAAGGATGATTCAAGAAACTTATTTTTCAGTACAGTTTTTGGCTCTCGTTCTAGCTGTCCTGAAAAACTTAGTGAGGTTTCACATGACATTGTAAGGAAATGTGGTGGTTTGCCCCTAGCTGTTGTCACTATCGCAAGTCTTTTATCAAGTCAGCTTGAGAAACAAGAGCGATGGAATTATATAAACAAGTCCTTAGGTTACAGTTTGATGACAAACCCTAATTTGGAAGGGATGAAACAACTACTGAATTTCTGTTACAACAATCTTCCTCAGCATTTGAAGGCGTGCATATTGTGTCTTAGTATGTATCAAGAGGGTAACATAATTTGGAAGGATGATTTGGTGAATCAATGGATAGCTGAAGGTTTTATATTTGCAATTGAAGGGCATGTCAAGGAAGAAATTTCAAGAGTCTATTTTGATGAGCTTGTTGGTAGAAACATTATCCAGCCTGTACATATCAATAACAATGGTGAGGTTTTGTCTTGTGTAGTTCACCATATGGTACTCAATTTTATTACATGCAAGTCGATGGAAGAAAATTTTATGGTTGCTATAGACCATTCACAGGCAGCTACAAGATGTGCTGACAAGGTTCGACGATTATCAATGCACTTCGGTAACATAGAAGATGCAACTCCACCAACTAATATAAGATTGTCCCAAGTTCGGACACTTGCCTTTTGGGGGGTCTTGAAGTGCATGTCTTTTATTACGGGGTTTCAACTTCTTAAAGTTCTAACTCTACATTTTTGGGGAGATGAGGATAGCATCAGCAGTTTTGATCTCACAAGAATTTCTGAACTTGTCCAACTGAGATATTTGAAGGTCACCTCTAATGTCACCTTAAAACTGCCAACCAAGATGCAAGGTCTACAATATTTGGAGACACTGAAAGTTGATGGAAATATAGATGGAGTTCCATCAGACATCATCCATTTGCCAGGCTTGCTGCATCTTAGTCTTCCTGCTAAGACAAACCTGCCCAGTGGAATCGTCCACATGACATCGCTTCGAACACTTGGATATTTTGATCTCAGCTGTAACTCAGCAGAGAATCTACTGAGCCTGGCTGAGCTGACCAATCTCCGGGATGTACAGCTCACCTATTCTGCTGCACATTCTGATGATCTGAAGAATAATATGCAATGCCTTGGATCCATTTTGGAGAAACTCAGCAACCTCAAGTCTATAACTCTGGCACAACCAGGCTCCTCTTATGCAAATACTCTGCACGTTGATAGTGCTACAAACATGAGGATATCTGTTGCTGGCTGGAGCATCCTGTCCTCTCCACCGGCCCTTCTTCAGAGGATTGAGTTGTTACCGTGTGTTTGCGTTTTTTCTAGTATCCCGAATTGGATTGGGAAGCATGGAAATCTCCGCATTTTAAAGATTGGGATTAGAGAAATAACAAGTAATGATGTTGATGTTCTCGGAGGATTACCCGCACTCACTGTTTTGTCACTGTATGTCCATACAAAACCTATAGAAATGATTATCTTTGACAAGGAAGGATTCTCAATCCTGAAATACTTCAAGTTTAGATGCAGCGTAGCGTGGATGAAATTTGAGGCCGGTGCAATGCCTAATCTTCAGAAGCTCAGGCTAGGTTTTGATGTTCATCGAGCAGATCAACACGATACTATTCCAGTCAGAATCGAACATCTGTCTGGAGTTGAAGAGATCTATGCAAAAATAAGGGTCACCTCTACTGCTGATGATCTTTGTAGAAGATTTGCAGAGTCAGCATTGACTAACGCCGTTACGATGCATCAAGGAAGTCCTAGTGTCAATATATGGTGTGTAGATTGGATCTTCGATGGTAAGGATGATAACATTGCCAAGAAACGAGAGGTAGAACATAGGATTTTGCAACAACAACCACATATTGTGAAAGAAGGCTCAAATGAGAAATCCGCATTTCTACAAAAGAACCTCGGGGAGGGAGCACATAAATCTGTTGGCAGCAGGTATGTAATATAATCTGTCGCGCTAAAAATACTCTTGCCCTTGATACTACAATCAGTTTATTATGATCAATTCTAAATTATCAATTGACTCAAGCATAGCACTTCTTGACTAACTACTGGCACTACAACAAAAACCTCGTATAGAGACACTTTTGTAGAGGTGTTTTGCAAATTGCTTCTAAGATCAAAAGTTTTATAGTGTAGATACACTTTATAGAGGCACTTTAAAAATTGCCTAGAAAACTTTTACTCTATAGACATTTTTAGCTTAGTTTGTTAGATTTTATCTTGTAGAGGCATTCTTTTGGCACTATAAAATGCGTCTAATATGTAAAGGCATTTTGTTGACACATTTTATACTATGTAGAGACACTTTTTGAATGATAATGTGTACTAAAGGACTAAATATAAGTAACTAATGGAACAAACATACAAGTAATGATATGGAGTTAAGTTGGTTAGTGCATTGAAGATTAAAATGATTTAACCAAGAGATCGTGAGTTTCAAGGCTTGTCAAAAGCAAGGAAACTATTTTATTCTCTTTTTTGGACTGGTTTTATATATTTGCGGTACAATTTAATGTCTCTAGAAAATGCCTCTACCATATTATAAACATTTTATAAAATGTCTCTTCGTTTGTAGAGACAATTCACTATAAATATTTGCGGTACAATTTAATGTCTCTAGAAAATACCTCTATCATATTATAGACATTTTATAAAATGTCTCTTCGTTTGTAGAGACAATTCACCATAAGACACTTATTAGATATTTTTTTAAATGCCTCTACATTGTTGTACATGCATTTGAAAAGTGCCTCTACATTACTAGAAAAATGTCTCTACAAAGTATTTTTCTTGTGGTGTGGCAGACCCAACAAAAATTTCACTAGGTGTATGTGCCCACAAACAACAAGAACAAATACAAATAAAGTTTAAATTCAATAAACCCAACTTGATCTAAGCTTACAAATCACAAAGCATTGCCTCCTATCTTACTTCACTCCATTAATTTCTCTTTACAGTGAACATTCACGGACACTAATATTGGACAAGACAACAAATCAGATATCTGACCTGAGTTAAATTATCGGACGGTCAATTGTTTCATTTGATCAAAGATGAAATATTTACTAAACAGAGTGAAACAAAATTATCAAAGTCATTGAAATATTTTTCTTTAAAAGAAACAAATCCATTATGTAAATAGCATATCAAAATACTTCCTGAAACATCCAAAGAACACCGTATATAGAAAATACTAATAAAATATTGAAACATCATAAAATACTTATTGAGACATCTAAACAACACCATGTGCGACATCACAATAAACCATTGCAACATAAAATTCCAAAAGTGGATCCGCTTGCCCTAGGTTGTCATGGTGCCCCTAGCTGCCGCACCATCTTGGGTAGCTTCCGAGTCCTTCTCGGAGCACCGTTGCCTTTAGCTCGATGGGACCATGGCCACCGTCGCCTGCCCATGATCTGCTAGAGGCCCACAAGGTTCCTCTCCCGTGCAGCGGTAGGTCTCGAGGCTGGAATCGGTATGTGGTGAGTGGTGCGGATCAGACGACTGGTGAACAACATTATTGTTAACGCAAAATCTAATTAGTGTCGTATATATGCACTATTTAGAATTGTAACGAGACGTATGCGCGGGCTGTCCAATCGAAGAGACTGCTAAGCGCTAGTTAGTAAAAGTGGATCCGCTTGCCCTAGGTTGTCATGGTGCCCCTAGCTGCCGCACCATCTTGGGTAGCTTCCGAGTCCTTCTCGGAGCACCGTTGCCTTTAGCTCGATGGGACCATGGCCACCGTCGCCTGCCCATGATCTGCTAGAGGCCCACAAGGTTCCTCTCCCGTGCAGCGGTAGGTCTCGAGGCTGGAATCGGTATGTGGTGAGTGGTGCGGATCAGACGACTGGTGAACAACATTATTGTTAACGCAAAATCTAATTAGTGTCGTATATATGCACTATTTAGAATTGTAACGAGACGTATGCGCGGGCTGTCCAATCGAAGAGACTGCTAAGCGCTAGTTAGTTAACGTGACACCTATGTAAATACGGAGGAAAATACCAACCAATCAACCATTGAATCCTTACTCTACACAAGTCCTTTTTTAGGAACTTTTATATTTTTAAAACCATGTATAGTTTTTAAGATCCATTTAAACCATCATACTCTAGAGAAAACATGTGATAAAATGAGTCAAATATTAAATATATTCAAACATTCAAAAGTAATTTACTCAAAGTAGGAGTAACTAAGTTCTACAATAGAACTAACTCCATATTATTGAAAGTAAACATAGGGGACGATGTTGAAATAATAACTATGCGTAGTAAAATGTGGAGAAGATTCACGAGTAAATACAATTATTTTCTTTATTTTGAAGTAACCACTATGTTATTTTTCGGAAAAAAACAATTTATTGTTATATATGAAGTTACTCTAAGAGAATAGAAGTACCTTTTACGGTGTTAGTAGTAACTATACTGCTAAGGGAAAGTAACTCTAAGAAAATAGGAAAAACTCTTCGCAATATTAGAAGTAACTATACTGCTAGGGGAAGTAACTCTAAGAAAATAGGAGTAACTCTTCGCAATAATAGAAACAATTGTACTACTAGATGAAAGTAACTCAATATTAGAAGTAACTATGTTATTAGAGGCAGTAACTCTAGAGAAATAGAATTAACCATTCTAGAAATACCTACACTACTAGATGATTTAAGAATAAGAATAAGATTTACAAGTAATTTTGATTTATTTAAAAATTACTTTTAGTCTTTATTAAATTACTTTCATAAATATCTATGAAGTAAATTAATCAAATCTAAAAGTAATTTACATATTTTTCAATTAGTATATAATCATGTAAGATCTTGTTATAAAGATTTAATTACAACGATTATAATAGAATAGTTGAATTATAGATCAGATAAATAATTTAAAAGAAAATTTTATTTGAAGTTTAGCTATTAGGAATCTATTTTCCTTACTTTTGCATACTTGCATACTCCCACATGAGAAAGAGATAGTAGAAGTTATTTTCGTTATTTGTTAAAATGGTAGTAGCTGTTTAAGACTAGTTCATATTAGTCGTGTCCTATTTTTAATTAATACATTTTAGATAATGAAACTTTTACATCTAGATGATACAACCGTACTGATAACACTACCGGCCTTGGTATAACTAGATGGACACAGCAAAAACATACACCCACGCTCTAGTTTTGATACGGAAGAAAACATGATTCATATATAGATACATTATCCTATAAAAACTTTTTTTTGGTACGCCATTGTCCATGTTCAATGTCCTTTCTCTATCTCTCATGGGGCAAGAAATTATTGCACGCTCTTCATTTATCTAACATATGCAGCAGGACCGAATTCCCCATGTCAATCACACGAACATGTCCGCTAACCGTACTTGTTATCAATCAAGTGAGATTCATCTCCTTATTTTCTCTTCGAGCTAAACTGTCTAGTTGACCGGGAGGAAATTAAGGAGAAGACCTAATAATTCAAACTACAGGACAATGTCTCTATTTTCATCTAAAATTTCAACGAAATGGGTGTATTAAAAGTTGGGGCTTATATAAATCTCTGCATACTACATAACAGGAAGGAACCACAGATGGAAAGAAGGAAGGTGATCAGGATGAGTTATACAGAGGATGACGGCTTCAGCTGGAGGAAGTACGGGCAGAAGGACGTGGAAGGCGCCATGCACCCAACTACCCAAAGTAAGTAAGCGATGACGACTCGTGCCAATTAACTTAAAGTTAAATTAAGGTTGATTGATTTAATGAAGCATCGAATGCATGCAAAGAGCTTAATTAATTAAGAGCAGAGCGGAATAATCTGATTAACCCGATCTTGTTCAACTTATAACTGTCGTCGGAACTCTGAAGTTATTTCCGATGTGCCCACAAGATGACGACGGGCTGTAAGGCACGGAAGAAGGTGCAGCGCACCGACGGCGACCCGCTGATGGTCGACGTCGTATACAAGGGGGTTCACAGCTGTGCCGGCGTGCATTCCGACAGCCAGAGATCATCCGCCGCGAGCTCTAAGTCTAACCTGCGGCCGACGAAGAGCATGCAGGTGAGGGCGAGCTCCAAGGACGTCGGCCCCCCAGACGACGGTTACAGCTGGAAGAGGTACGGCCAGAAGAACATCTTCGGCGCTAATTACCCAAGGTTAGTGGCTGATTAACGTACGACTGTACCTGAAATGAACTGGCACTGCTGCTGGAGTACATGAAATCGAACTGATCTCGCTCGCCATCTATTTTGCAGATGCTACTACCGGTGTATACACAAGACCACGACGGGCTGCACTGCGACAAAAAATGCACAGGCCACCGATGGTGACCCACTCCTCTTCGACGTCGTGTACCACGGGGAGCACACCTGCGATCTGCAGAGCACGCACTCCAACGACGTCGAACCGATCAGGCCGCAGTCTGGGCTCGACGACGACATGTGTACCGACGATACGACGACTGTCTCCACACGCCACGACAGCAACACGGATGCGTCCTCAATTAGTTTTCAATTAGATTGGACCAATTGCAAAGACGAATCGGATGGCCCTCCCACCACCCTATAAAGAACAAACCTTGCATACATTACGTGTGCGAATTCACGGATATGTATCTTTAGTGTATTTTTTACACACATTTGACATTTGTCTTGTTCAATATTTTTACGTAAACTATGTGAAAATGTACGTCGTACTCAAATTATACCTTTAATGATAAACCAAGAACAAAATAAATAATAATTTTTTTCATTTTTGAATATAACTAAATGGTTGAATGACAGCATCATCTATTAAAAGCCGAAAGTAATATAATTTTGTCAAAATTATAATTTATTGGTATTACTTTTTTTAATCTATTCATTAAATACACAGGTTTATAGATCAGTCTTCTATGTCAAATTAGCTATTTTAGTAATGTTCTTTATATATTTAGTTGTTAGCTATAAAATAGGAGATGATATAGGAGAGGAGGGTCGGAGGGGGAGGGAGTAATGTCTCTACTACTTATACTAATAATATGCCCGTGCTAAACACTACGGTGCAACTCTATTATCTTTAATAACTTTTAAAATTTTCATGTTAGCAAAAAAAAACTATATAAACTGTGCATTTGAGCTTTAATTCAATTTATGCCATACATCACATATATTTCGCGTAAAGTATAATAATATGGCATACCAATTCATGCAGATATATAATGCATATATCTGTGCCCCATATCATAATAATATGATATTAAAGATATATGATAATGCGTATATCTGTGCCTTAAGTCATAATGCATAATAATATGATATATAATGCATATATCCGTGACACGCAAAATAATTCACAATGGCGTTGATATCAATATTTACTCATCTCACATGCGTTCTTTTTGTATGTAGTGTGTGTGTATTTGCATCATTATAATGCCTCGCAAGTGGGTGGTATTTTTTTATATAATAGTGCATTTTCATATTACAATATATTACATGCCCATGCTAATGCTATGGGGTGACATTTGATAGCTCAAAATGAAAAAGATATAACACCACAGTGACTTTTGATATTTTAAAGGCGTTACATTTCCGCATAGAATAGATGCTATTAAGGTTAAAGAAAAAATACATAAATAGTTACTCCAGTGACAATCACGTGGTACCGTACATGTTTCTTCTGACGTGCTGTACAAAATGAATTGATAATTATCAACAGGATTTGAATTTTTAATTTATTTTTGTAAAACATGAATGTAAACCATGAATATTGAAATGATCTTTTACAACAAAACTTAAAAACATGTGTTATTACTCATCATTGTTCACCAATCAAGAATATCTTTATACACGATATTTCTTGTGCTCCTTCCTGTGGGGTCCACTTCTTTTTTAGGCTTTGCCCAAAATCTTTATCGTTTTCCTTGACACCCCTCTTGATAATGCAACATAATGCTGCTCATGCGAGAATACAATCTCTGGAAGATAGATACCGACATTTGGGATGGTTTGTCCCTATGATTTATTAATTGTCACTACGAAACTTAGACTATTGGAAATTGCTTTCTCTTAAACTTTAAAGGAAGGGAAATATCATCTGAAGGAGATAGAGGGATCCTTAGTATGAACACCCTTTTGCGTGCATGATGTCCACCAACGATTTCAGCATCAATTGCATTGTCTTGGAATGCTCATTAGTCTTGTTCCATTGCATAGTCCATTGTTTGCATCTTCTCTCTTTTTCTCTGCAGAAAGTTCACTTGTCCCTACCACAACCCCTTCGCTCTGGTTTTCCTCAGATGCAGTTGTTGCTTGAGTTGGATTGACGGATGTTACACTGCTATTAACACCACTCGACTTTGCTCTATTTCTTGCACGCCACTCACGTAGATAGCTGTTATTTTTTCCCTTTTTGTTGAGGTGGCAATCTCAGGAACAATATGACCTCAGCACTATCACATTCTTCATACTATGACACATGCGTTGTTTGCATAGGACTTGTACTACTATTCTTCTTAGCCTCCAGATTTGCACGATATATGCATTGTTTAAAGTTTCTCTCTTCATTTTTACGCTGAGACTCATTGGATAGCCCATTTTGATGCACATGACCTGCATTATTTTATTAACACTACAGCCATACTGAAAAGGACAAGACCTGCCTTATATACAACGCACTATCCATTATACTACACCTTTATAGAGGTTTGTTATATCTCTGAGGAATTTGTGCGCTCCACCGTCCTCGCGATTTGCGTCCATGCGCACCTAATTTACATTTCATGTCATTTTTGATGAGTATGTACAGCCAAAATAACCCATGCATGGAGTACTCCTAGTCATTCATGAGTTCTACACAATGCACAGCTAATATATATAGTTCCTAATGGACCCGTGCTAACGCTACAATGACATTTAAAATCAAGTAATAAAAAAAGGCATATCCTCTAACAATCAGGATCACAAGACACGTTAGGACAACCGAAAATTAACAATGACACGTTCTATAACAGTAACCATTCCATAATTCATCACAGATGCACAAGCAATTTACCTTGTAAAACTATTTTTTCACATCGTAAGTGCCCAGATCAAATTAATGTGGCACCAAATAAAAACTATTAAACATAGTTATGAGCCAATGGCACATGAATTAACAATGTTAAATACACGATTTCATCCATTGCATTTACATTCCTGTCACTATGTTTAAACCCAGGACTAAAAGAATAACTGAAGAGCATATTCAACCACGTGAATGATGGGTACAAATAACTCTCCTGTCACGAAACACATTATAATTTAAATTTTATAATACACCAGAATATGGTTGTGCAGCAAGGTATCTTCTATACTCTCATTATTGAATCTTGATTATTATCTATTGTACCATGCCAATATATAAGCACCAGGTTCCGTTGAAGAGCTAATTATTAGTAAGCGATACCTCCTTGGTTTCCTGCACTTCACCTATCTCAATTCTTATCACAGTACTTGGGAACATCAATCTCCAATTCAGTTTTATTGAAACTTGAAACACAAGAAGAAACTTGATCTGTTTTGACACAAATGAAGGAAATAAATAATTGACCATGAGTGGTGTTCATAATTGAAAATGCAAAAAAAAAATATAGAGTAGTATCTTAAAATCGAGGTTAAAAAAGGCACAATGAAACCAATATTGAAGTTATTGCTATGGGTGTAAAAAATAAGAACTGCAAATGTTATCACGGATAGGGATGCGGTATCTATTATATACATACATTTTCTGAAGTGTATAGGAACAGGTAAAATATAAGAACTGCAAATGTTATCACTGATAGGGATGTTGGATTAGAGGGAAACGATCCTGACCGTTCAATGAGAAATGAGGAGTGTACGACTGTGTTGGTAAACTATAGGGTTGAAGAATAGTGTAGATGATAATAACAACAATGCTTGATAATTTTCAACTCTCACATCACTAATATAGCAGATACATCCCAACCAAGATAGGCACACAGTGTTTGATCTAAAGCCAAATATTCAATCATGTCCATGAAAATCAATAATTTAGTGATGCAAATTCACATTCTGAGACACTATACTTCTGATTGGATTCTAAATTTTGGTTGTTTAATATTCACTATCTGTAATCCGATTTCATTTTGCAAGCTATCATTATGTCAGGCAATAACAGGCAGCCAAACTCGTGCTAGAAGGCTTGCGAATTCATAAGTATACAGTAAGCAATGTCACAACCTTTTCCCAGTTGATAAATTACAGAAACATGGTCCCACCTTAAAAAAAATCAGAAACACGGTTGTCCAAAGATACAAAATCCAGATAGTGCAATTCAGTTAGCATCCATTTATGAGATGCTAATATTCAACAGTTTACACACTGTTCATCGCAAAGATGATATACACAACTGAATGAAATAGACATAAGAGAACGTTTCCATGACTCACCTTGTTTGGTCGCGGAAAGCAGGACGATCTTGATGTAGAGCGACGGTACAATTTTGCTTAGGAATAATTTTATCACTGTTTCTACCTAACTGAAATGAAACCAAATCAGCGAGATCTTATAAAAACCAAAACACATCAGACCGCCTAAATGCAGTAAACACACTCAGACATGTAAAACCAGTAACTTCACAACTCAGATATATATCTCTGGAGAGTGTAACACTACACTGGCCAAGGTCACCTGTGACGGGCCCAAACCCTCATCTTTGACGGCTTCGCGCATGGTCAGTGATCAGTGGTCACTGGTGAGTCCAGTCACCTTTGACGGGTGGCCGGCCGTCACAGGTGACACCCACCTCTGACGGGCAAGTTACTAGAAGGCCGTCAGAGGTGTTGGTCTCCGCTAGCCTTGAGCGAGTTAGGACCCGTCACAGGTGACTCATCTCTGACGGCCCTTTAAATAAAGGCCGTCAGAGGTTGAGGTCTCCGTAGTTAGAAGCTGTCACAGGTGATCTACCTGTGACGGCCCCAAAAGTAAAGGCCCGTCACAGGTAGGTCACCTCTGACGGGCCTTTATTTACTAGTCCGTCACAGGTTATGTTACCTTTGACGGATTTTTTGTTCCGACCCGTCACTGATAAGTTAATTCCAGAAAAAAAATAAATGCTAAATATTGGCTAGCCTCAGGATTTGCTAGCCATGCCCTCTGAAAAATAGAAACATCACAAGATATATTCCAGTCACAGATCCATCACAGATACATCACCCCCCCAATATAACATCACAGATCCCCAACAACACATATATGCAGTTCAAATGCCACAATTTTGCACAGCAAATTCACACCCCTTGAAAGCCACAATTTCGGTCGTTGCTCATAGAACCGCATATATACTTACCAAATGGATTAAAGCCATAATGTCATCGACCTGCACAACCTGTCAATAAGGAAAAAAAAAGGAGAAAACAGATGAATAGTACAACATAAATCGTAGTTGATCAAATGTGATGACAATTTAGTAAAGTAACATAAATATTGCACATATGAAAGTAAATTACATTGAACTCTATAAAAACATAATTTTTTACATCGCCAGAAATTATAAAAACATCTTTTTTACATCACAATAAATTATCTAGCCAAGTTCATGAGTCTATTTGGCATGAAAACGTCCTTTCTTGTTCATTATTTCTGCAAGAATAAAGGCGCACAATTCGCCTCTGATAGCGGGGGGGTTGATGGGTGAGATCTTGAAGCCAGCTCTACCTTTCTGTTTAATAAATAAGAGGTTAATTAGCACGTTTTGAATAGCAATGTAGATATTGAAATGAGCTTATTCGCCATTAGCAACAACCTCAGGGTCGAAATCTTTCACCTCTCTTAGAAGTGTTGACATGTTGTGGCACACGTGGAAACCACATTGGTCTCCGATCTGTTGTGCGCATGCAAACTTGGTGTCATGATAAAGTTCATTCTTGCCCTCCTTGTGCCTACCACCCTTTTCCACATATGGGCCCCAAGCCATATTTAAGGCCTTGGTGATTTCACTGAAATCATAATCTTTGGACTTATTGGAGTTAAGGTAGGTAACCCTACTCCACTTAGGTACGATGACTAGGAGAATCCAATGTCGCCTGCGCAGTGGTTATGTAGCGTTAGTACTAAGAACCTTAACTTCAAAAACAATATACACGAAGGGTATTGTCCTCTTACTCTTGGTTGTGTGCGCACATGATGTACTCCTTGTCTTGATGGGCCCATAAACACCGGTTGACATAGTCAACCACCTCAGTGAAGCTCTGTCGTAAATTAACCTCATTCACCATGGATGGATCAAGGAACCCAACCTGATTACCATGGCGACGACTCTCGATCCAACACAACCTTAAAATATTTACGTATTAGAACTAATTTAATTAGGAGATATAGTCCAGTCATATCACAAGTATAGAAGGTATGCACTTACAAGGAGTAGCATTTTAGAAGACCAGTGTCCAACTTCCGGATCCTGAAAAGGTCGAAGAGGTCATCAAAGCCTATAGTTATATAGGCAGGCGACGATAGGAATGGCTGGTGGTCGTGATGTCCAACTATGGATGACTCCCTCATTTTCCGCTTGGCATTGCTTAGCTCCATGTATTGCTTATGTAGCTCTCGGCAAGCAATACCCATCACGGCTAACACATTGTCCTCCACCAATGGCATGCCTAGCTCAAATTGGGCTGGCGCCCTCACGACCTTCCCCGATTTGCTCACCGGCATCGACGTCGCAGCCTTGCCCCTTTTTGGCTCCGGCGCCAACTCCCCGACCTTCCCCTTGCCTCATTCACGCTTCTGGCCCTTGACAAGTGGTGGGGAGCTATCGGCCTTTCTTGTGGTCTTTATTGGAGCCAAGCTTTGAGCTATATCTGCCAAGTCCATATCAGCTCCACCGGGAGAATGAGGTACTGACAATGCCGGTCCACGGGGAGCCTCAATTGATAGCTTAGACTTGGGAGGTGTAAGCTCCGTCGGTCGACTTGGACGAGGAGTCATCTTCACAACTATGTCTTCTTTAGGCCATTGTATGAACGTCTTGCACGCATCGCCCAAAGTCATGATTTCATCATTTGGGGGCACGGGCAGCGGATAGCCTGACCAGGTGTCCTTTACTGTATCGATGGACACCTTGGCATACCCAGCTAGCAGGTCTGCGCCGTGGACCTTGTCTGTAACCGAGGGCTTGAAAGCCATGCCCTCAGCGACTTCAGGAGCGAAAGTTGGGTGGACTCTCGCTAGTAGGACACACTGTGCTGCGCCCTGCATAAGGTGAAAGTTTGAATTTAATATTGGAATGTGTAAATGTCTTTTATTAGATATGGATCGGATAACAACAATTACCTCGATGTGGTCCACTGCAGCTAGTGGTGCGATCGGGAGACCAGGGGCCGGCACCTCTGTGGATGCACAACTACTCCTATGCTGTGACGGACTCGCGTCATGTTGTACACGAGGAGTTGGTTGCACAGCAGGTGTTGTGACTCGGGGTATATTCATGTCGGCGAGCACCTTGTTAACCCTTTCTTCCACCCTTGTATTCATGCTAGCTTCTAGTTCTTGAATGACCTCAACCTTAAGTTCGGCCTTCAAACGAGCGTCCCTCTCTTCCTTGGAGACTTTCCGTTTCCTGTATTGGGAGCTGTACTGAGGGAGTCCATGCTTCCAGGGCACATCGCTACCAATTCCCCGAGTTCGGCCAGGATGTTCTTTGGTTCCGAGCGCCTTTGTGAGGATGTCATCTTCGCGCCTCTTCGGCGCGGACTCAACCTCGCTTTGTGAAGCTTGTTCAGCAACCAAGCCCAACTAGAAAAGAAGATAGTCGTTTATACGAACTTGTACTTTATACGAACGGAAATTAGTTAGGTTAAGTAGTGAACTCACCAGTTCCTGATAGACGACGGCATCACTTTTGTTCTCAAATGTGACAGAGCCGTCCGGGTTGACCTTACCCCTTGCCCGCGCCCAGTTGCGAGCTCTTTGTTCAGGGATGTCTGAAAATGGGGCAGGGACATTCGCTGCTGCAGCGGCTGCATCTTCTTGGGCCCATATTGCCTCCTTGCCGATGTACCCTGCGGTGCCCAGCCGATGCGGGTGCTCATTCCGCTGTTGCAGTACGCGATGTGCCTCGCTGGATTCCCTAAACTCTTGGGTGGTCTTGAGAGAGCAGAATTCCTCCCACACCGCTTCGGTTATTTGAGGGTATTCATCGAACGGCGTATGATTGCCGGGCGGGTTGACATACTCGGTGAAGAGCTTCGACTTCCAATTCTTCCAAGCTTTGCCCATCTTTTGGAATGCCTTCCGCTTGAGCCTATCCTTTGCTTCGGCTGGAAATGTGAACCATTTCTCCATTGCCGTCCAAGCTCGCTCTTTCTCGGCTTCTGTGACCTTCCCGATATCTTTATGGAGGATCCCGAAGTTCTCACGTGCCGCTATCCCGCAGCAGTTAGACCATCTTCCAATGACAGTCCTGGGCGCCGTGGGCCTACCACTAGCGTCAACCTCTCTTATAACTTGCACTGTGGTCGGCCATATATTTTGTGACCGCGGATTTCTACTAGACCTACTTGCACTTGTCTCGCCCGACATCGACGTATGTTGTTCCTGCGGCAATTCTGCAGCACAAACAGAAGGCAATATTTGCTAAGGGGTGCTAGCTAAAATTTATGTGGTCATGTGGTGAAAATTTATCCTATAAATTACCATGAATTTCGGGTTGTTGGACCGCCGTTGTCGCGGGATGACCTTCGGCAACTGCCTCTGTGGCTGGGTTTGCTTCTTCCTGGATCCTCGCAGGTGTTGGGGAGGGCGGGTTTGCGCCGGGCGTTGACATGGTTTAACTTTCGCGAAAAAGATTATAAATTTCCTACCATTAGACTAAATAGCATTAGATCCAATGTAATACGGGGTATACTATGAAAGATATGGCCTCAGTTTTGCTGAGAAATATGCATCAATTACAATCATTTGCATGAAGGGATAAAAAGAGGAAATCATAACATCAAAAGAGCAAGTGCAGAAAATCTGTTCTTATGCATAAAGAAAGAACAAGTGTAGAGGTATATAGCCAATGAATCAATCATGCAAATTTTAAAAACAGCAGCAGCAAGGGTACAGAATTTGCATGATTGACATAAAACAGCAGCAGGAGGAGTATATATGCCACAGGGGTAGCAACAGCAGGGGCAAATTAACTAAAACAACATGTCTAGATATACTCCTCTTATCAATCCAGAAGAAAAGAGCAAGTGCAGAAAATCTGTTCTTATGCATAAAAAAAGAGCAAGTGCAGAAAATCTGTTCTTATGCATAAAAAAAGAACAAGTGTAGAGGTATATAACCAATGAATCAAGCAGAATAAATTTAAAAAACAGCAGCAGCAAGGGTACAGAATTTGCATGATTGACATAAAACAGCAGCAGGAGAAGTATAATAAGGAACACATTGGGCAGCAGCAGCAAGGGTATATAAATCATCAAAGAATGACAGAAAACAAGTGTATATAGTCTCCTCTTATCAATCCAGAAGAAAAGAGCAAGTGCAGAAAATCTGTTCTTATGCATAAAAAAAGAGAAAGTGCAGAAAATCTGTTCTTATGCATAAAAAAAGAACAAGTTTAGAGGTATATAACCAATGAATCAAGCAGAATAAATTTAAAAAACAGCAGCAGCAAGGGTACAGAATTTGCATGATTGACATAAAACAGCAGCAGGAGGAGTATAATAAGGAACACATTGGGCAGCAGCAGCAAGGGTATATAAATCATCAAAGAATGACAGAAAACAAGTGTATATAGTCTCCTCTTATCAATCCAGAAAAAAGAGCAAGTGCAGAAAATCTGTTCTTATGCATAAAAAAAGAACAAGTGTAGATAATTTGTTCTTATTGAGCAATTCATCACTGGCCATTTAACAAGGAACACATTGGGCAGCAGCAACAGGGGCAAAGATACTCCACAGGGGCAGCAACAATAGGGGTGTATTAACATAAAACATCACTGGCCATTTATCTAGTTAAAATCATGCAAAATTCAACCAATGCAGCAAAATTAATCCTAAAATCATCTAATACAAAAAGACTAATTCATCTAATACTGCATATATTTCATCCACAAATAGTCCAAATTCATCACCTCATATATTTCACATCTCAAATATGCATATATTTCATCAAAAAAAATGAGACAGTACTACTAACTTCATGTAAACAGCAATTCATCCATTCAATTCAATCAAGTGTATATAATAAAACAGCCCACAATCATTTATGTGGCAGCAGCAGCAAGGGTATATAAATCATGTATATAAACAACAATTCATGCAATTCACCTATTCATAGACAAAAAGGGTATATAAATCCACAAGTTTAGATAATCTGCAAAGTTCCTTAATCATCAAAGAATGACAGAAAACAAAATGCATGGAGAATTTTGGTGTCTAGGTCGGTTCCGTCCATGGACTACACTGACCAATCCACCAAAATTCCCCATGCATTTTGTATTCTGTGATGGTTTGATAACCTCGGAACAACATTAAATCTGCGGCCAATCAATCAATTCTTCCATTTGAACTAAATTTCAAACCCTAAACATAATAAAGTTCCTTAATTATCAACGAATGACAGAAAACAAAATGCATGAAAAACCCTAAACAAAAGTCATGCTTGTACACAGAAAACTGAAGATGTATAACTCTATCGGATTGGCAGATCACCTTAACTCATAGCTTATCAAAACATGCAACAATCTGAACGGAATGACAAAATTCATCGTTCATCCAAAGTTCATCATTCATCCAAAGTTCATCATTCATTCATCCATTCCATTGCATCATTTATTCATCCATCCACTGCACCATTCCATTCATGGGCATCAGAGAGAGAGGGGTACCTGGAGAGGAGACGACGAGCAGAGGAGGCGGCACACGGCGACGACGAGTCCCGGCAGGCGCACGGCGCACGGCTTCTCAGCACGGCGGCGCGGCGGCGGCTTCTTGGCACGGCGGCGCTGAGGAGGAGAAGAGGGGGTTAATCGGCGACCAATAGTAAACGAGGGGAGGCGGGGGGAGTGGGCTCACCGTGGAGGTCCCGGTCGAGAGGAGGAGGCGGCGGAGAGGAGATCCCGGTGGCGGCGACGACGGTCCTGGCGTGGCGACTGAGAGGAGGTCCCGGCGGCCGTCGAGAGAGTGAGTGAGGCGGCTGCGGTGGAGAGGTCGAGGCGGCGGTGGGGAGGGCGGCGTAGAGGGCGGAGATGGCGGTAGAGAGGGCGGCGGAGATGGCGGCGGAGAGGTCGATGGAGATGGACGGCGGCAGTCGAGAGAGTGAGTGAGGCGGCGGCGGTGGAGAGGGCGGCAGAGAGGTCGAGGCGGCGGTGGGGAGGGCGGCGTAGAGGGCGGCGGTAGAGATGGTGGCGGAGAGGTCGAGGTCGAGGCGGTGGAGAGGAGGGCGTATAGGGTGGCGGAGAGGGCGGCGGATTTGGCGGCGGCGAGGACGGCGGTGGAGAGGTCGAGAGAGGCGAGGCGGCGGTCGAGAGAGTGAGTGAGTGAGAGTGGGCGCCGGATCTGGATCGATCTAGAAGATGTCCAACCCTAGGTCAACCCTAGTCAAACTCACCTGTGACGGGCTCCAACTATGTGGCCGTCACAGGTGGCCTCACCTGTGACGGGCGCCAACCGTGGAGCCGTCACAGGTAAGACCACCTGTGACGGGCCCAACACTCTGGGCCGTCACAGGTGAGCTCACCTGTGACGGCCCTACAGATAGAGCCCGTCACAGGTGAGTTTGCCTAGAGCAATTTTATTTTATTTTATTTCACTTAGTTCTTTTATTTTCCTTAACATATTTTCACATACACTACATATTTTTTTATACTTAATTATTTTATTTCACTAACAGTAGTAATTGCACTTCATTATTATACTACTTTAATTATATTATTTCCAATGCTTATACTTGCTTAATTATTTTATTTCACTTCTAGTGGGTGTTTCACTTAACTATTTCATTTGACTATTTCATAAGCAATATACTATTGATCATTGCGAACATATTAGAGTCATACAGATAACAGACATGTAGACATAAACTACGTACATAAATTACAAAAATAATCCTTCCTCATGGTCGACACGTGCATATTGAACTCCATTCAGGACCCTGTGACAACCACTGAAGTGTTTCACTAGGCAAGTTCTGCAACCTGGCAATTCGGTTCTTCAGCCACTCGTTGAAAGAAGACATGTGCTTATTCCTGACCCAACTCTCTGATCGGCCTGGGTTATCTTGTCGGATAACTGCAAGGTGTTCGTCAACGTACGGCACCACCTCAGTCATATGCTGTAGTACCGTGAAATGAGCTTTATCGTACACCTTACGATCCAACCTAATAGTCTTTCTTCCAACAGTACCAACACCGTCAAGCCTCCCTTCGTGATGAGATCGTGGTAATCCAATTGAAGATGTTTCTGACATGTAGTCCACACAAAATTCGATGGCCTCTTCGGTGGTGTAACTCTCGATGATACTCCCCTCGGGGTGTGAACGGTTCCGTACCTTAGGAGGCAAAATATTCCTAATTGCAACGGGCAACAGCTGTGTGATAAGAACGTGGCAATCATGCGACTTCATTCCAACCAACTTAAGATCTTGCAGTGAAACGAGCCTACTGATTCTTGATGAGTAACCAGATGGAACCTTTATACCACTCAAACATGTTAGCAAATCAATCTTCTCTTCTTTCGAGAGAGTGTAGCAGGCTGGAGGAAGGTAAACCCTGCTGGATTCCGTGGTTATGGGATGTAGCTCCGACCAAACACCCATATCTTCCAGATCTCGTCGGGCGTTGAGACCATCCTTTGTAGTACCTGGGTTAAGTAGTAATCCCATTAAACTCTCGCATACATTCTTCTCGACATGCATCAAATCTATGCAGTGGCGAACTTCAAGATCCTTCCAGTATGGTAGTCTCCAGAATATTGACTTCTTTTTCCACATGCTCCTCTCTTTTGTCTTTTGTTTTTCCACATGCTCCTCTGTTTTTTCCTTCGATGTGCTCTTCTCTTTTCGCTTTCCAACTTTCCTCTTTTTTCCAAACTCGTTGGTTATTCCCATCACTAAGTTGTGCACCTCTGTCCCTGTTAGCTCTGTCGGGGGTCCGGCTGTATCTCTGTGTCCATTGAAATTCTTTCTCATATTCCTATACGGGTGATACCTTGGGAGAAATCTCCTGTGACCCATGTAGACCGTCTTGTGTGAATGCTTCAACCATTTGCTTCTTGTTTCCTCCATACACTCCGAACACGCCCATTTCCCTTTCACAGTTTGGCCAGAAAGGTTGCCAAGGGCCGGATAATCGTTGATGGTACAAAACAGCATCGCATGGAGGTTGAAATACTCTTGTGCATATGCGTCCCATGTTCGTGTGCCCTCATTCCATAGCCTTTCGAAGTCATCGATTATCGGTTCAAGGAACACATCGATATCGTTGCCAGGTTGTCTCGGTCCTTGAATGAGCATGGCAAGCATAATGTACTTTCTTTTGAAACACAACCAGGGAGGAAGGTTATAGTTAACAAGCAGAACTGGCCATGTACTGTGACGACTGCTCAAATCACCAAAAGGATTAATGCCGTCCGTACACATTGCGAAACGCATGTTTCTTGGGTCATTTGAGAATTCCTGGTAAATCCTATCGATTGTCCTCCACTGTACTGAATCTGCTGGGTGCCTCAGCATAGTATCGACTTTCCGTTCTTCGGCATGCCAGCGCACAAGCTTAGCTTGTTCCTTGTTCGCAAACATTCTCTTCATGCGCTCCGCAATTGGGAGATACCACACCACCTTTGCTGGGCCTCCCCTCTGACTTACTTCCTTCACCTTCACTCTTTGCTCGTTTGTATCTTGATGCCCCACAGATAGGGCAGACATCCAAGTCAGCGTATTCCTTGTAATACAAAATGCAGTCGTTCGGACATGCATGAATTCTTCTGACCTCCAGGCCCAACGGACATAATACTTGCTTCGCTTCATATGTCGTCTGAGGTAAATTGTTCCCCTCTGGCAACAGATCCTTTAACAGCTCAAGGAGTTCTGTAAAACTCTTGTCCGACCAGCCATTACTAGCCTTAAGCTTCATGAGTTCCAACACGCATGACAACTTGCTGTGCTTCGACTTGCATCCATCATACAACGGCATCTGGCAATCTTCCACCAACTTACTAAACTTCTCATAATCTCTGTCGTTGTCCTCTGCGTCTTCAATGTCATGCAACATTGTAGATAGACATTGAGTGTCCAAATCTATGGTCTCTCCACCTAAAGGAGAAGGTACGAACATGCCTTCTCGAGCTGCGGCGGTGTTCTCTACATCCTGATCCAACACTTCTTCAGCTGCGACATCAGGTGCCTCTTGCTCTCCATGCTTGGTCCAGCAGGTATATTTCTTCATGAATCCATTCATTATCAAATGAGCATGCACTTCATCCTTGTCTTCGATCATCTGTTCATTCTTACAGTCCCTACATGGGCACAACATGTGCATGCTCATCCTACTTTTTCTGTCATTATCCGCAAATGTGACAAATTCAGTGACCCCCTCTCTATACTCGGTAGACGAACGATGCGCATAGTACATCCATCTACGATCCATCTGAAATCAACAACATACGAAGAAAAATAAATGATGATCGATATGTTGAGAATGAATGGAGAATAATGTGTTTTTTACCTTGAATTTTAGCAAAAAATCGCCCCCCTTGCCCTCCCAACCGATTTGTGAACAGTACAATGGTCGGGATGGAAAGCAGTTGGCAGTTTGGGGGTATTTATAGACCCAACACACCTCAAACGGGTTAGATAAAAAAAGCCCGTCAAAGGTATTGCTCATACCTTTGACGGGCTTCTATTCAACGGCCCGTCACTGGTATCCTCTCACCTGTGACGGGCCAGAAATGAAAGCCGTCACAGGTGGCGGCCCATCACCTCTGACGGCTTCTAATGTATCGGCCCGTCACAGGTGAGGGGATACCAGTGACGGGTTGGAAGAAAAACTCGTCACTGGTATACCTCTGACGGGTTTTCCTTTCGGCCCGTCACAGGTGAGGGGATACCTGTGACGGGCCGCGGCCAGATGCCTCACCGGTGACGGCATCCCGTATAACCCGTCAAAGGTAATGGTCACTACTGACCAATTCGTTTGCCCGTCACAGGTATCCCGTCAGAGGTGTGAGGATCTGGCGTAGTGTAATATTCCTAGAGTGATGGCAGTGAAAAGTAATAGGAGATATTTACTGAATCCAATATCAAACATGTGTGTCAGTAACAGACGTATATTTGGTGCATATGTTCAAAAATAAATTGGATTTTCTCGGGAAAAGTGAACATTAGGGGTTAAAATTTACCTAGAAAGGATATATATAGAGAGGTACAGCACTAAAAACACCAGGATGGCTGTAGCCTACAAGAAGATAAATTAGACAGAGAATGAGAAAACAGAGAATGAAACAACAGTGAGCTAGCCTAGCCAGCGCTGATTCTTCTTAATTGATCTCACACTGCAACCTGAGAGAAGAATATGGCGATCTGGGGGGAGGGGGAACCTTGCAATTAACGAAGGAACGGGAAGGGGAGTGAGAGATGTTTACCTGGCTAGCGGCGTGGGGGCGAGGAGGCGCGAAGGGGATCAGACGACGACTTGATGGAAACCCAATGTACGAAATTCAATCAAATGCTGAAAAATTAAATGATAAATTATAAATCAGAGAAACCCAATGTAAGATGAAGCTTCATACTGAAATGTAATAAAAAGGGGTTGCCTTCATGGTAAGCAAAAGGTATATAACTGTATCTGACCAACCGGTAAGTCCTATCGCTAAACATAAACCAAATGTACCTTATCCTATCCTATCCAACAGCCACCCAAAATTCAATCCCCTAAAATATTCACCCATATATAGATGTGGGGAAGATGAGGCCACCGGCGTGAAGGATTGACTCACAGGCGGGCGAGGGTGCAAAGAAGAGCCTTCAAGTGATGCATAATGCATAATAATATGGTATATAATATATATATCCGTGACACGCAAAATAATTCACAATGGCGTTGATATCAATATTTATTACATATATTTACACTGTTTCTCATCGAGATTGATACTTCTTAATTGTAATTTGTGAGAATGTTGTACCATAGGATATTAAACATCTAGTATTTGCCCCCATTTAATATTTGCTTTGTCTAATCTGATAGCCAAAAAAAACTGCTAGGATCCCACATAATAACACATTTACTCCTCTTGATGCATGTGGCCAGATCCTTTATTGGTTTAAAATAACTTTCAGGAAAACAGAGGGAAATTATCATTGTTTTTTTCACCATCCATGTGTACTGACGTTGTGACTCAGAGCAAACCTCTTGCTATTGTGGGCTATGCATCACCACGCAATGCAGACTGAACTGGAGTTCTTTTTTTTTTCTGAGAAATTCATCGACACTTACGTACACTTAAAATTGTCGTACCATTTGCAAAGCAGAAATTTCAATGAGATACACACACCTGAAACACTGATCTGATGTTGAGGAGGCCGGAAGCTAGCAGCAATATTCTGAAGTTAAATTCAACTGCAATATAGGAACGTCAGCACATCTACTGTCAGAAAATTAGTTGATTCAACCTGTAATTGTTGTCATGCAGATTTAGTTTATTAGCATCTAATAAGTATCGGATGTGACTTGACAGAAAAGTGATTACATCGGATGCAAAAGCTGAAGAGCAATTTAACGTGTCATTAGTCATTACCTGTTATTACAGACAAATCATGAGTTTAGGGATCCCAACAGCGTTGTCCATTGCTGCAGGCCAAGGCGCGGAGATCAATAACCACCTGCACACATACAGTAGCATAGTTTAAAAGAATACGGATCGATTGCTAGATTCCACAGCCTCAGCCGCGCCGTTGGACCGAGAAAGGATCGGTGGCAGTGAGGAAGGCGTCGACGGCATCCTGGCGACGGGACGGCTTCGTGCGGCGGGGATCGGTGGTGGCAAGGAGCAGAACGGCGTGCGGCGATTGAGGGAGGGGGCGACGGCGGTGGGGTGGCGTGGCGGCGAGGCGCGAGAGTGAGGAAGGGTGGGGAAGAAGACGGCGGCGACGTATTGGCGAGGCGACGGCGTCGGCGTATTGGGGAGGCGACAGATGCGAGAAAGAGAGAGAGAGAGAGAGGATGGGAAGGGGGATGCGGCGCGGACGCGGGATTGGGGGAGTCGGGGAGATCACGCGTCGGGGGGATTACGTGTTTGACAGAGGTGGGAGGCGGGGATCGATCTAGACCGTTCAGTTTTCACAGGATGAATCTGAACCATTGAGTGATGAATGAAAGAATGAAAGGATGGGTGAAAGTATTTGTTGAATTATAGGGTAGAAGAAAAGTGAGTAGTGGTGGTGGTTTTGCCTCCCCACCACCGACTACCAAACTTTTATTTTAGAGAGAAAAAATTGAAAAACAAAATAGTGTGGAACCAAAGGATCTACATCTCAGTAATAAATATATGTACAACAATTAAGAGATGGTAAGAACATGTTAATAATAATTTTCTTTAATTAATTAAAATCCAATTGCAATGCACGGGTAATATATTCTCTTCCTCACGTTGTGCCCTACTGTCACTGCTACCGGAGCGAACATCGTCTACACTGACATGAATCAATATGCTGCTCGTGCGTATATTGGAGCATCGCTCGTCTACATCAACATAAAAGCAAGAATGATGTCGTCTGTGATGCTAGGGAATCGTTCGTGCTGAATCTAGACCTACAATGTCCTCGGTTGTTTCATCGATAAGGTATTTACTTCTTTCAAGATCGCCGTTGCTACCGGTGCCCTCATAGAGCCCCTTTCATGGGCTCATCGTCATATCAACCGAATCAATAGTAGATCCATTGTCCATCAACGCCACTGGTTGCCAGCGGGGACGTGCCTCCGGTGGTCTCCGCGCGAAACGGAGGCGATGCCGGGGGAGGGGATGCACCTACAAGGCCGAGGGTGGCGACGGCGCGGCCGGCCAGCGCACAGGCGCGACAGCAGAGGCGGCTGGAGGTGGCCGACGGCACGGGAGAGAGACGGGGGCGACAGGGAGAGGTGGTGCGGCCACGGGGAGACTCGGGATGAGGCAAACAACGAGAGAAAGCAAGGAGCGGGCTCCATTTTATAGCAGAGGGGAGCGAGCCGGCCACGGAAGAGGGTGGAATGGCGGCGGGATGGGTGGCCGACGGCCATGGAAGGTGGCCGGGAATCGCGCGGCCGTTCAGGGCGATTGAGGGCACGAATCAAGGGGGAAAAAAGGGGGAAATCAAAGACGAAGGAAAGAGGATTAATTCCTCCAATCAATTTTGGAATTAGCCGTTTGAATCGAGCGGATTTGTGAGAGGAAATGGCTAGGTTCACAGGAGAGAGAGAGGAGGCCGGGCGGCTGGAGGTCGAAGACGACCCAACAGGTGGGACCCACGCACCAGCGCGTGGCACAGGTGCGCACGCGCGTGGCACGAGCGGCTGGCTCGGCTCGGCATCGGGCCAGGAGGCGGGAGGCGCAGCTTGGGCCAGGAGGAGAAGAGGAGGAAGTGTGCCAGCCCATGGAGAGGGAAGAAAGGAAGACGAGAGGGGGAGAAAGAGGACTTCAGCCGCGGGCCGAGGGAGGGAGGGGAAAACTTTGGGCTAGACTCAGCCCAAAGGAGGAAGGAGGGGTTACTTTTAGTTTTTCTTTTTAGGGAATTGCTATCTATCATCCTGCTGTTTTTTTTTATTTGTCAGCCGTTTGTTTAGCCATTGGATCTCCCTTCAAGATTCGCACACACCAAAGCCCAGCAGGGGTACCCGCGTCTTGCACAACTGCTACTCCTATTTCCCTTTTTTTCTCCATCACGCACGGGAGAAAGAGCGAGAGAAGCGTTCGGTGAGAGTGGGGGCACACATCTGGTGAGTGGGAAGGAGAGAAGGTGGCGGCGATGCAGCAGCGGGAGCGCGATGCCGTCCTCCGCCGCCGCTCTTCTCTATGGCCCATGGTAGCTCGGCCCCTCGCCATCGCCGGCTCTCGTTAGGTCGCCCCACGCGTCAATGCCGGCTGGGCCTTCAAGGTTACTCGCTCCCCTCAACTCTCTCCGTTTGCGCACGCCTGCCCAGCTACTCGTTGCCGGCCGCTGCAGTAGTCAAGAGGTGATGAATTCCTAGATCTAATCCCCTCCTCAAATCCCCCCAATATGTTCCCCATTTTTGTTCTGAGTCGATCACTCAATCAACTGTAATTTTTTTTGAACGACTCGCACGAGACGGTGCGAAATTATAATGATAGAGCAGAAAAAAATTATAAGATTACAACCTTGGATGGTCGTAACCAGGAAAAAGGAAAAAAATATACCACCACCCACACATCGACAGCGCCAACACACAACCCGGGAGAAGGCTAGCACCGAATCGGCCGCCGCTTAGCGTGACCGACCGCCGCTAGACCAACAAAGGAACATAGACGAAGATCGCCCCCTAGGGGATGCCAAAACGACGCCTTCAAGAAGAGAAGCGACGGAAAACCGTTGCCGCCGTCCGTCGGGGCTCAAGGAGCCAAGACTAGGCTTACGCCCGGCATCCTGCGAATCCACGGCTGACGCACCGATGCTCCACCACCACTCAAGCTCTGCCGACATGTGGGACCCCTGCACCGGCGTCCCCCGCCGGCCAGCCTTCGTGCGTCGAAGACCGCGCTACACCCATCGGCAGCTCTTCCTCACACCGAGGTCGCCTCGTCCACCGCCGGCCGCGCCTCTCGCGCCAAGCCGGCCTCCTCCACCGGACACACCTCTCGCGCCAATCCGGCCTCCCTCCATCGGCTGCGCCTCTCGCACCAAGCCGGCCTCCATCTCCGCCGCCCGCGCCTCTTGCCCCGAGCCGGCCTCCGCTGCCATCGGCTGCGCCTCTGCGCCAAGCCGGTCTCCGACCCCTCCTCCAAACGATGCCACGCTGGCCAGATGCAACCGTCTGCCACGCCCTCGGCTAGCCGTCCGAAGCCGCCATGCCTCCGGTGACCGTGGTCTCCGCCACCGCAGCCGCTGCTGCCGAACGCCCAGCCACCTCGCCATCACCATCCTCACCTCCTCCGCCGCAGCCACGTCCACGATCGCCACGGCCATCACCACAAGCTGTCCGCTGTCGCAGCCTACAGCCACCAGCACCCGCTGTCGCCGCCCGCGAGCTCCATGTCGCCGACCGCGACTCCACACCGCCGCCGGTCTCCATGACGCCCTCCCGCTGCCGGACGACGCTGGCCTCCACGACAGCCACACGTCGCCGGCCTCCACGACACCTGCATGGCAGGCCTCGCCACCCACGAGGCCGCGCGACCGCCTCCACGACGCCTCGACCACCACGGCCGCTGCCTCGCCAGCCAGCCGCCGCAGTCGATGCCGCCACAGCCGCCACCGCCGTCATTGCCGCCGTTGGCAGCCGCAACCACCGCCAGCCAGATCTGGCTAGAGGCGTCGTTGCCTCCTCCCGCATCGCCGGCGTCACCACCGGCTCTCGCGGCACCTCCACCGCCGCATCCGTCGTCTGGCCACGCCTCCGTGCTCGGTACTGGAGGCAGCTCCGGCAGCGTCTCCCGCCAGGTCGCCGCCGCCTGGTCGCGCCAGGTCGCCGCCGCCCAAACCCACCACCAAACCTCGCCGCCGAGCTGCCAGGACGCCGCCTCCCGTCACTGGGGGACCGGATCCGGCCACCACCGCACCGGATCTGGATGCCACGGCACCGGATCTGGTCGGCGCCGACGCCATGCCCTGAGCTCGTGCCGTGCCGACGTCCCGACCGTCTTAGCCGCGAGCGAGGGAGAGAGAGCCCCGCCGCCGCCGTCCTTGCAGCCGCCCGGCTTTGCCGGCGGCGGCTCGGGCGGCGGCGAGGCTGGGGAGGGGAGGAGAAGGGCGGGCGGCGTGGCTTGTTCGCCGCCCGCGTCGCCCCCGGGACAGGGCGACCGGGCGAGGTGGCAAGTATTTGAGAACGAACAGATTAATCAACTGTAATTGAACTGGATAGTAGGTAGTAGACCTGTTGGAAATCGATGGTTCAAGATCATTTTTCAGTGTATTTTGTTTTTGTCAGTGTTTTAAATTTTTGAAAAGAAGTGATTTTGATATTTTTCAGTGTACTGATTTTGTTAGATCTGTCATTTTTGTAATTTGTCAGTTTTGTGACAAGAAGTTACGTCATTTCTGCTAGCTTTGTCCCTTTTGTGAGAAATAAATCTGTCATGCAAGAATTGTACTTTGTTAGCTTTGTCCCTTTTGTTTTTGTCAGTTTTTTTAAAATTTTGTTTTACGTGTAGTGGAAAATTCTGTTTTAAATTTATTTTTTAAAATTTTTGTTGGTTTTTGTCTGTCTTTGTCTTTGTTAGTTTTTAAAATTTTAAAATTAAAGTTAACTAAGCCTGGTGTCTGTGAATTTTAGCTACCTAATGCAGTAGAAGACTAGATACTGATTGATGTAAGCTTTTAGTTTTTCAAATACTTTGAGTATCACCAACTCCTCCTTGATCATGCCATTTGCTAGCCTCCAAATACTGCATCCTTCCAGAAAATGTAACGCATTGCATGATTATGTTCTGAACATTTTAGAGGAAACTAGTAATTTTAGAACTTCACTATGAATAGATAGTATTTTTACTTTTGTTAGCAAAAAAGAATACTTAGTACATTACCTTCCTTTTGTTCTCCCTCTCCTGCAGTCTCCCCTATCATGTTCTCCTTAGTTTTGTCCTCTACTAAGACTAGTAGTTTTCTAATAGCTATATCAGACAAGGGAATTCAGAGTGATTGCTTTTGTAAAATTGTGTGTTTATTGAATTAGGGAAGGTGAGCCATGTACAGCAAAGGATAGGGCTTTGCAACCTTTCGAACGAGAAATCCCACTCAATAAAATATTGCGAGCTTTGCAATTGTTGTTAAATTCAGTTTTCAAAGCCACAATATCAATTTGTTCAGGAATCACATAAGGCTGAGCAACCTTTTGCCAAACATCATAATCTTCAGCCATAATGTAAGATTGCATCTTGTCACACCAATAAGAAAAATTCAATCCATCGAAAACATGGGGGCTTAGTTGTAAACTTGTTAGCCATGGCTAAAACTCTAGATCCGTTAAGATCCAAAGAAAAAAAAAGGCTCTGATACCACTTGTAAGATCGAACAGCAAGAACTAAGCCAACCAGATGGGGATGAATGGTTGTAATACCCAAATACCAAAACTTTTAGCGGAATTAATAGTTACCCTTGAATCGATGAAAACGTGGTCTAACCGGAGTTGATCTACCGGTCTGACCGAGCCAATGCCATCGGTCTGACCGGTATTGTTTGCCCGGTCCAACCGCCCCAAAGAAGCTGCAGTCGCTTGAAGCCGTCGCCAGTCTGACCGTCGATGTCCCGCCAGTCTAACCGCCACGTTGCCGCCGGTCTGACCGCTAGTGTCTCGCTGGTTAGACCGTCGAACCCGAGCAAACACAAATCGAAGAACTCTCAAATTAGATGACAACTTTATTACTTCTCTCTGTGTTTACAAAGTGCAACAACAACACTCCTCATGAAAATCTCGACTGAACTCGAAACCCTAACTATATATTCTCTCAACTCAATGCTCTCTAAAGCGATACCGGGAAGCCTCACCCTCCCTCTCTATTTATACATGAGGTAGGTAGCCTAAAACCACGAACCAAACTCATATAAGTATCCTAATCCACCTAGGAAACCTTCCCGTACAATAAACCAACTTTACAAACTCCAATTGTACCAAATTTAGACTCCTTCCAAATTCGACTCCGCATCCCATACGCACACAATATCTCCATCGTATGCCATATGGAATCTTCACTAATCACGTGCATTGATCTTTAGCCTAAGTATCCCGCATGATATCTGACCGTCCAGACGTTACCTTATCTCCAAGTTGACTCCCGATCCATCACTAGCAATATTCTCCCGAGACATCAAGACACCTACACATGAATCAAACAAAAAACCATATTCCGAGACCAAGCTGTCTCCAACTTAACTCATTGTTAGCAAACAATAGTATTACATACGCATAGTATCTATCTAGAAGCCATAAACATGAACTATCCACGGATATCCAACAAAACAACCCGAAACCGAAACCGACACAGAGTTGGCCGGTCAGACCGCACGATACACACCGGTCTGACCGGCAACACCTGCCCGGCCTGACCGGACCCGACAAAACAACAGTCCCTGTTCATCACCTACAAATCTAATTATCTCCAAAACCACTTCGCTAATAATCTCCAAATATCAAAACCAATAATCTCAAATGCCAATTGTTCATCATAGAATATGAATCAAACACACTTTGATTTTACAACGTCCTGATAAATTCATCCCGAATTAAAAATCATTCTCTAAAAGGAATAATAGAATTTATTAAAATTCGAAAAGAAATTGGCAAACATTAAAATACATACAAGAAAAATTCGAATGTTGCCCGGAGTATTTTTTTTAAATTCTCCTTGGTCCAAAAAGAGCCCTTAAATTTTACTTGAATTTTTAAAGCACTGAAAATATTTATTAAGCAACAAAAATAATTGTCATAGTTTATTAAAAAGAAGGGACTATCTATGTGGCAAACTGCTGAAAAAATTTGTAGTTTCATCAGGATTCCTGACCACACGATAAAACACGCGTCGTCATCCCCTGCCTCGCTTCGTGCGCATCGCTCTCAGCCTCTCGCGCCTCCCGCGACCCAGTTTGTTGGGTCAGGTCTTTGGGCTTCATGTCCCTTTTTGTCTTTGTCACTTAAAAAAAGCCTAGTAAAACACATGGACCAAAATAACATTTTGTCTGTCTTTTTGTTTTGACCTGTTGTCTTTCAATAAAGCAAGCAAGCACACATGGTTAACGTCAGGCCTGAAAATAAGGTCGAGGGAAGATATTTTTTTATACATTTTGTTGGGCTGAAAAACAAAGGGGCTTAATATACTGGCTTACTTACAAAAGGTCCAGTAAAACACAAGAAAAAACTTAGCGCAGATGTCAGAATAGCACACAACAACATAACATACAGACACTTTTTGATCTGAGCTTCTAATTCCTCCCATTGGAAAAATATGATAAGCTGCAGTGCATAGAGGGGTAAAACTTAGCATTTTGTACAATGGTTTGTACCAAAAATTTATAAAAACATACCACTTGGATCTAACAAAACGGTCAAAGATCATAGAATTTGGTAAAGGGAGAGCAATAATCTGTACTAGAATGCCAGAAGTCTCCCCGCTGGAGTGTTGGATGGAGACCTGGAACTTCCTTACATGGGAACGTGCTGTCTTGGTTGCCTTCCCGTTAAAGGCCTCTCCAAGGTATATCATCTTCAGCTTCAGTTTCAGTAGATATATCTGTTCATCAAATTTGCCGCATTTATGAAAAATGAAAGTTTTCATATGTTAGTACACTGCAGTGATGAGTGATCCTTTCGTTGGTACTATTGCAGGATGTGCAGGTAGAACGAAACACGCCATGTACATATCGATCAGAAGGTTGTTGAGGGACTCCTGGGTCTTCCTGGAGCGTGCCTGAATGATCTGACGGCTAATGGCTTCTATCTCCTCCTCGGCATGGTCTTGCTGCTTCATCACCACGACCATGTCCTTCAGGGCACTATCCACCTTATCCCTAGAGTTGATCGCTTTATTGGATCCTTCACGACAAGCTGTTTCGCCAAAATGAAGTTTTTTGCCCAGGTTAGCATATATAGATTCTATGAAAAACTCCAGTAAATCCTTGCGTCACTACGAATCCCGAATTAAAGTGTGTATCTGTGTGTTTTCTTTAAGGCATGCCATTGCTCAAGTACTTCAATATTAATCCATCCTGGACCTCAATATTAGCCAATAAATCATTCCTATGTTTGCATCATAATACAGTCAATGAGTTAGTGAAACACAAAGTATTAGCATTTGGTAAGTTGCTATGCAAACTTCAGTTGATAACAAAGATATGAAACAAAGTCATGCAGCTGCATGCCAATCTGCATGTTGTGCCAAACACAACATAAAGATATGTTGGCGTAAATATGTATTGTTCTAGGGACCTATCTGTAAAAAGGTTAATGATAATAGAATAGATGAAGAAGGGGTGAGCTGTAGGAAGCAACCCTAGAAAAATTCCCAAATCGAACAATATGGTATCAGAGCTAGGGTTTCTCAGCTCACCGGCGATCTTCCCCCTCGATTCGTTGCTGTGAAGCCCGTGCATCGTGCCGTCGTCCTGGGCTGGCTGAGTGGGGGTGGGGTATAGCAGGCCAAACGGGCGGCCCGGCCCAGCACGGCACGGCCCACTAGGGCACGGCCCGTTAGGCACGGCTCATGTAGCGGGCCGTGCCGTGCCGGCCCACGTGCCAAGGCCTTGGCCCAAGCACGGCCCAAGGAGGTGCTGGGCTGTGCCGGGCCAGCAAGGCTACTGTAGCGGTAGCTAGCCCACTAGTACATGTGGCCCATAAAAATTGAAATTTGAGGGGAAAAAAGAAAAAAGGCAGAAAAAACATAATATAAAGGAAAAAATGATAAATATAGGATAAATGTGAGGAAAATTAGGAAATATATCATAAAATATATGGTACAAATAGGATAAAATGTGGAAAAAAAATAAAAAATATGAGAAATATATGGGAAAAATTAGAAAATCGTAGGAAAAATAAATGGGCTGGTGGGCCGTGATATGCCTGGGCCGTGCCGTGCCGGCACGCTACAGTAAATGTGACGTGCCGTGCCGGCCCACGGGCTGAGGCGTCGTCCCAAACACGGCATGGGATAACGGGCCGTGCTGGCACGGCCGACAGGCTGGCGTGCCATGCCGGGCCTGGGCCGGCTACAGTACTGCCGTGCTCGGGCCGACCCGGCTTAGCACGGCCCATTTGGCCAGGTATAGGATGGGGGCGCGATTCGCCTCGCCCCACTCACGCGGGAGGGCGAGCAGTGGCGGCGGCGCAGCATGCGAGCGAGGCGGCGGCGGCGCAGCAGGCGAG